TAGAATATATTCATTTTCAAGAAATTCTGTAGAAAAACTATACAACACACAAACACACGCACACAGTAATGTTAAGTGGTTGTTCTTTTTTTTCTTTATTTCTCAAGCATTTTTTTTTCGTTTGTTGGAATTTTTTCGCATGTGGAAAAAATTTGGAACAAAATTGATGGTAAAATTCATTTTTTTTTCTTTTTTTTCCGAAAAAAATAAAATATCTTCATCCGACTATCATCATCAATCTATAATACATGATCGATTTGCGATGGTAAAATTATTTCTGGCTGTCATGTACATTCATTATTCGATTATTCGATTATTTGGTTGCGAAAAAAAACATATCAGTTTAAAAATTTTTAAATTTTTCCAATCAAAACAAAAAATCGACGTTTTAAGAAAAAATCCATGGGAAAAATTGTCCCAAAAAAAATAAAAATAAAAATAAAAAGAACAAATGATGAGATCAAAGACCTTGGGGTTAGTTCCATTAGGTTTTATTCCAAAGGGGAAGGGACCAATTTTTTTTTTTTTTTTTTGAAAGAGAAAAATAAAACCAAAAAAAAAAAAAACAATTTAGTTTCACCCTCTCTCATTCTCTTCGACGGTATATTGATGAATGGATGGATGTATGAACAATAATTTGCATCCACATTTGCTTGATTTCTTCGGATTCAACCCGAAAACTGAACCAAACAACAAAAATACATAATAATTTCATATGGACATAATTCAAGCATTTATTTTTCTGAAGAAAAAAAAACTGGTCGGTATTTTGTCTGATGATGAGTGTTGTTGATGGAAAAAAAAAGTTTTTCTGGTATTTTCTCAATTGAATCACTTTGGCTTTTTAAATGATGCAAATAGTGAATCATATCGAGAGAGAGAGAGAGAGAGAGAGAGAGAGAGAGAGAGAGAGAGAGAGAGAGAGAGAGAGAGAGAGAGAGAGAGAGAGAGAGAGAGAGAGAGAGAGAGAGAGAGAGAGAGAGAGAGAGAGAGAGAGAGAGAGAGAGAGAGAGAGAGAGAGAGAGAGAGAGAGAGAGAGAGAGAGAGAGAGAGAGAGAGAGAGAGAGAGAGAGAGAGAGAGAGAGAGAGAGAGAGAGAGAGAGAGAGAGAGAGAGAGAGAGAGAGAGAGAGAGAGAGAGAGAGAGAGAGAGAGAGAGAGAGAGAGAGAGAGAGAGAGAGAGAGAGAGAGAGAGAGAAAACTTTTTGCAATGAGCCATACATGTATATCACATAAATCTTTTCATTACCATTTTTCCTCTCTTTTCTCACTGGTTTTCTCTACATCATTCGATATTGCTTATGGTTTATATCACCATCAGCAGTAGGCCCAATGAACGTCATTGGTTTGAAATCTAAAAATTTCTCAGTGATGTTTGTTTGATCCCATACATCACAATGATGTGTGTGTGTGTGATACCATTGGCTAGTGTGTTGTTATGTGTCATACATACAAATACACACACACACACTAGATTCGTATTTTGTCAATTACCTGGAACTGTATTATGTTTTTTTTAATGCCTTTGGGCAGAGTGAATTTTTTTTTTTTTCTAAGCTAGTGCTCGCGCAACTTTATTCATTATCCCACACATACACACACACAAAATAGAAACATTTTTTCCGCATCCAAAAAAAAAGTCCATTGCACTTTGGATCTGATGATGATGATGATGGTGGTGGTGGTTTCAAGGTTTTTTTTCTATTTTATTTTACTCTTGCTGAGCAAACATAATGCGGGACTTGTTCAAAGGGAATCTAGATTTTTTTTGGCTTTGCAATCACACACACACAAACTCATCAACAATCCAAGATTTATTATTATTGACAATAGCCAATGTGAAAATTGATGTTAAAATCAACGAAAATTTTTTTTGAACATCAAATGCAATTCTAGTACATTTTTTAAATCTTTTTATGAATATTTTCCAAAGAATCCTTATTTTAAACATCTTTGACACACACACACACACACACACACATCAAACACAATGAACACATCTTGTAAATTTGTAGCAAAATAAAAAAAAACTTGAAAGGTCATTTCCGAGAAAGGAAAAAAAAAGAGAAACAAAACAATAATAAAATATGTAGCAAACAAAAAACGAATGACCAATGAGAACAACAAAAAAAGTTATTTATTCGAAAATTGTTTGACCTGATGTGTTTGTGTGTGTATGTGTGTGTGTTATATAATAAAATAATTTATGGACCTATGGATAGTTGTTGAGCTATAAGCGCGTGTGGTTTTTATTTTTATGGTCATCATCATCATCATCATCATCATCAATATCGCTTCCTTAGTTATTATTGTCTTTGGTGGTCTTTTATATTTCCATGATGATGCTTACGATGATGATGATGATGATAATGGGCTATTTGGTTTTTTTTATTCGTTATGATTCTACAGACTAACCAAGTATATTTTTTTTGACCATTGCGAAATGTTTTGCATGAAATAAAATGAAATGACAACAACAACAACGAGATTTTCGTTTTCGTTTTTTTTTTGACTAATAATAAAAAAAACAACAACAAAAAGTACCGAATGATTTATATTTTATTCGGGGTCATTCATATGGTGAACATTATTGATTGTTATTTTACAATGTTATGTTTTTTTGTCGTCATCGTCGTCGTCGTTTTGTATATACGATACTAATTTCATTCGTTTCATTCTCAAATGTGTGTACTATAGTGTGAGCTAGTTATAATTAGAAATAAGAATTGATCTTGTCGCGCGAGCTTTGTTGTTTTTTCTCCATGGTTCTTATATAGGAAATTGTAAACTAAACAAAAAAAAACTGGCTCATTCCTCATCATCATCATCACATGTCATTTATAATATATATAAAAATGGTTTAAAGTCGTAAAAAAAACCAGCAATAACAACGACAACAACAACAACAACCACAATGGCAGAAAAAAAAATAAATGTTTCACACTAAACACTTTGTTATTTACAAATTCTTTTTTTACTTACATCGAACAAAAAGTGTGTACAAGAAATTAAAAATTTGGAAATTCTAAACATATCAAAATGACCGTGAAAATTGAATAAATGAAGGAAAAAAAATCTCAATATAAAAAGAGAGAGAAAAATTCCAGGATTCAATCATTAAAATGATCATTAAAAAATTTTTTTTTTGTTTTTGTATTCAATAATAATGATGTGATCAGAGAGATGATGCCAGATTTTCAATTCGTTTGAATATTAACATTTGAAGAAAAAAAAATTTTTCTTAGCGCTTGATAATAAGTGTTTTTTATGATGATGATGATGATGGATTAATATTTTTATATATTCCATTGACAATATAATAATGATGATGATGATGATGAGACAACTAAATCTAAATAGTATTTGTGTGTACACACACACAATAGAAACAACAACAACAAAAAAGTAAAAGTTTTTCTACAAACATGAGATGGACAGAAAGAAAAAATCAGGTCAAAAAATAAATCTACCGCTCCCAGAAAAAAAACGACGATGACGACGATGATGATGATGATGATGATGAAGATGTTGAATATACCATATTTATGTAAATATCATTATTTTTATATCATCATCATCATCATCATTATCACCATTATCGATATTCATAAAAAAAATTCTGGGCATTGGTTTAATGTATGAATCGTGTGTGTGTGTATGCCGACTACTAGATCATTTTCCCCTTTTTTTTTATTATCATCGTTTTTTTTGGTAAAAAAAACTTCAGCTTTTTTTATTGTTTTCGCCTTTAATCAAAGATCATCATCATCATCATTTTTTATCTGTGAGCTATCATTTTTTTTTTTTTTTGTTTTACTTTCTTTTTTTTTTGGTTCAGGTAATGATCGGATTAACACTGTAACGATAATCATGATAATCATTCATTTCATTGATCAAATAATTTTAAGGTCAACATAATCATTATTATGCTCTATTAAATGACCTTAAGAATACATACAGGTAGCAATGACCTTATCGGCCAAGTATAAATAGTTCATTTTCACATAAATAAAGAAAAAAAATTTCCAGGAATCTAACATTTTTGTCAAATTTTCTTGAGCTGATGATGATCATCCATTGTCATTGAAAATTACTCAAAATATTTGGCAAATATAAAAACTTTATGTTTTTGTTTTGTGGCAATAAAAAAAAATTTTTTTCCACATTCAAGTTCATTTTGTTCAATGCATCACACGAAATTATTATTTTTTTTTTTTTTTGGAAATTGTAAAACGGGTGAATTCCGTTCGAAAATCATAATGATAATGCTGATGATGATGATAAAGACAACCCGAAAAAAAAATAATGTCACGCTTTTTTCATTGAAGAAAATAAAAAATTCCACTCACTGTAAGTAAATGTGAATTTCTCAAGAATCTTTTCTGATTTTTTTTGTTGTGTTTTTTTCTCTCTCTCTCTCTCTTTGATTATTGTTAAAAACGTTGATCGAAATTCGAAATTGGCTTTTCCATTATTTGATTAATTCGATCTATCGAAACGATTTATTTGATCAAACAATTAATTTGTGTGAGTGTGTGTGTGTGTATAAAAAGTACATGGATCTTTGGATAACTTGAAAAGTGTAAACAAACAAAAGAAAAAGAGAAAAATCATGTCCAAACATCCAATGAGACATGGACAAAAATCATTATCACCATCATCAACAACGGCGACATCAAAAACACCAACATCACCAATTAAAATGAAACAAAATTCGTCTAGTAAAAAATCCATTGATTCGATTGGAAAAACAAAAAGTAAGAAGAAAAAATTACGAATAAAAAACGACGTCAATGCTGCTGCTGCTAATAATGTTGATGATGAACCGAAAACTACTTCAAATTTAATCATTCAAAAAGTTGATTCATCATTAGGTTTAGGTCATAATAACAATAATAATAATAATAGTCCACTACGATCAAAATCGATTACATCGATATCATCAACATCATCGAAACAACAACAAAAACAACAAATAGGACGTTTTGTTACACCAACAATGACAACAGCAGCGATAATGAATGATCATCATCATCATCAAATGGCGACTAAAGCATCATCATTAATGAAAGATAACAAAAATAAGCAAAATAATGGTGAACATATTAATCATTATGGCCTATATCTTTATGATTGTTGTATTGTTTATCTTTATTGTCGACAACATCAACGATTGGCCATTGTTGAAGTACAAGATAGAGGATTATTCATACCATTTACGCCAATTCGACGACAAGAATCATGGCAATCAGCAGCTGAACGTTTAGTACAGAATCTGATTCGATTATCAAAATATAATAATAATAATAATAAAAATCAAAATCAACATATAACACAATCAATGTATAATGAACCGATTCTGATGGACATTTTACGTATACAAATACCGGATTATTTGGAATTTATTACACGTATTGTATATCGTATCGAATTGAAATGTACGGATTCAATGAATATCTGTGGACAGGATATAAATTCAAATAAAACAATTGCCTGGTATACAATCAATGATGTTCGTCATCATTCAGATGGCCATGATTATCTTGGTGCAGAACCAATGATATTAATAACTGATAACGATAACGATGATCATAATAAATTGAATTATCGTGAATCAACCATAATGACTATGTTATCAAATGTTTTTCAATTATCAAAAAATTCAAATCGTTTATTACAACAAATGAATTATAATGAAACCGATATATTGCGATTATATTCAGATTTCTTACAGCATTGTTATCCATCCGAATTTATGACTAGTTTATCGTTGAAAAATTTTCTTAAAAAATGGCAATATGAATTACCGACAAAGATTATCGAAAGTAGTAGTAGTGGTGGTAGTGGCTCAAAAATTTTAAATGATTTAGATAGAAATTACGTTGAAAAATTTCGTCAACTATTTTCTCAAGAAAATCAACAACAACAACAACAACAACGAACAAAATCGAATGATTCTAATTCGAAATGGCTTTACTTGAATTTCAATGAATTCATATTAGGTTTAGCAAGTATTGATAAATTGCTTAAATCAACTAAATCGGCGGAAACTAATAAAATTTCAAATGACAATAATAACAACAATAATGACAACAGCGATGGTAATAAAAAAAGCCGACGACACATTGATACTAATAAAAATAATGATGACATAATAGTGACAAAATCACAGCAACAACAATCACCATTAGATCATCTTAGACGGCGACAGCATGATTGTTATCCACAAATTCGACGACAACGAATACGACAATTATCATTATCAACAACAATGACAAGTTCAATATCAATATCATCGTTGTCTTGTCCATCATCATTATCATCATTACATTTGTCATCATCATCATCATTATTATCATTGAAATCTCTACGAAGTAATGATAATGTGAAACAAGATATGATGATGTTAGCCAAATCACAAAAACAACGATATACATTATCTGTCCATATGGTCAAAATGACCATTGATGGTTGGTTCTATGAACCAATGGTAAGTTTATTTTGTAAATGTTGATTATTTGTGATTCGTTCGGTCAGTTCAAATGTCAATGGTGGCGGCGAACACTGTGTTGTTGTTGTTTTCCAAAGAAATTTGTCCAAAAATCTTCAATGATTTTTGGTCATAGTTTCCGAGGATTATTTTTGCGCTGAAAAGAAGATATCACATTTTATTCTTAAAAACTTTTTTCTCATCAATGTCAATATCAAAACCGTGAATCCGAAATCTGTTTCTCTCAATTCAATTAATAGTGAAATGACCCGAATGTGAATCTTTCTGATGATTTGTGAATGTTGTTCTGAAAAAAAGTTTTTTTTTGAAAGTTTTTTCAGCGGAAAATAAAATTTCCGATGAAAGTTTAGTGAATTTTTTTTTCTAACACGTTTTTATATCAATATTAATGATGGTTTTTTGCTTTTTTTTCTTGCATTATCATTAGATCAATAATTATCAGGATGTAAAACGAATGCCACGAATACGAAGACATTTATCGAAACAAAATTTTAATCCAACATTCATATGTAATCGTATGATTGATGCAATACGTTTATTTGCATATAGAAATGGTATTGTTTATACTGGAATTAATGAAAACGACGAAAGTGTTGACAATAAACATCATCATCATCATATTCATCGACAGCAGCAACAACGAAATCAAAAAGAAATAGAAAATAGCAAAAGTAGTAGTGGCAATTTTAACAGCTTAATATGGCAACCAAATTCAAGAGATTGTATTGAATTAATCATACAGATTTGTCATAAAATGATTGATTTATTTAAACGTGAAAATAATCAAGCCATTATAAATGTATCGACACCTTGTTATGTAATCGGTGATTTACATGGTAATCTACATGATCTATTGGTCTATGATCATACAATTATCAATCACCGTGGTTATGAATCATATTTATCTACGGCAAATTATCTATTTCTTGGTGATTATGTTGATCGTGGTGATTATTCAATTGAATGTATTTTATATTTATTTTGTCAAAAAATTCTAACACCACATCGTATACATATGTTACGTGGTAATCATGAATGTCGTTCATTGCAGAAAGAATTTACATTTTTTGATGAATGTAAAATAAAATTTGGCGATAAATATGCAGAAAAATTATGGAATTTAATGAATAATGTATTTGATGTTATGCCATTGGTGGCAATTATTGATGATTCAATATTCTGTGCACATGGTGGTAAGTAACAATAAAATCAGCAATGTTGTGTCAATTTCATAGAATTTTCATCTATTTATTTTGTTTATTCATTTCAAATAATAAGGAATTCCATCATGTGTAGAAAAATTGGAACAAATTGCAGCAATAAAATTACCAATGAAAGAACCTGAACAAGAATCCAATATTGCACATGAAATACTATGGAATGATCCGGTTTCTGATCAAGAATATCGTGATTTATTACAAAATACACGTTCAATGACAACAATGATGGCTGTTTTAAATTATAATAATCCAAATGGTATTAATGATAATTTAAATGATGGTAAACAACAACATAGAACAACAACAACAGATAAAGATTCATTGGAAACATCATCAGCAATTAAAATCAACAAGAATAAAATGAACACAGAACATCATCATGATAATAAAGATGTTAAATGCAAACAACAACAACCGAATCCATTACATATAAGACTTAAAAGTGGTTTTCTACCAAATACAAAACGTGGTACAGCATGTTATTATAGTGAACAAGCGTTGACAAAATTTTTAGATGATAATCATCTTAGCCATCTGATTCGTGCACATGAAGTAATACCACCTGGTTATCAATATCATATGGGCGGACGTTGTTTAACAATATTTAGCTGTTCAAATTATTGTGGCGGTATTAATGAAGCGGCCGTATGTCTTGTGAATGATCAGAAAATTCGTGTTATTAAAATTGATACAAATACTACGAATACAACGGCAACATCGATGATAAAAATGGCTAGAAAAACATTGCCACCACGACCAAACAATGATGAAGAAGATGACGAAGATAACGATGATGATAATGATTGATGGATATTGGGTGAAAATTTGACAAATTTTATTGAATGAAAAAAAAAAAAGTAATAATCGAAAAATACTGAATATATACGGGCGGGCAAACACCACACTAGCCGCTCACACACATACAAACAACACAGAATCCGATTCTAAGAATTATTAGGTTCTAGAGATGATTGCAGTCCAACTGCAGTAACAGTAACACAACATAGGGCAAAGTCTAATCATTTTTTTTATCTTTCTCTCTCTCTCTCTCTGTGTGTGTGTGTGTGTGTGTATGTATAGGTGTATATTTTTGGATTTTGATCTACAAATCTTGATGATGATGAGGTTCCAGAATATCACTTTACAGGAAAAAAAATGAAGAAGAAAAGATCAGAAAGAGAGAGAAAGAGAAAATGCAATAAAGCTTAGTAGCTTTTCTTAGGAAAAAACCAAAAGAAATTAAAAATTCCCGGTATTTTTTTTTTCTTTTCCTAAAGTTTACTCTGTTTTTTTGGTCATTGACAATTTCTTTGGAATCAATTCTTTTCTCTAGGCTCGCTCCAGTGATCTGTGTTTTGTGTGTACAAACAAGAATAATAATACAAAAAAAAAGAAAGAAAGAAGTTCTGGAACTTGGAACTCATGTTTTTTTTTTGCATTACTGTTAATGAATTCTTATCTTGTTGTGGTGAACACAGAATTAAATTCATGTCCAATGAATATATGTTATTATTGTTACAATAGAAAGATGAAGGATATTCAACATCTCTTCAATTTTTATTCATTTGAATAGGAAAAAAAAATATCGTCCACATAATAAGAAAAAAACCAAAAAAAAAACAGAGATTTATATCGCAACATCATTTGTTGTTCGAAAAAAAATTGATGAAATTAAAACAAATATAATAATAAAAAAAAATTCAAATGTCAAATATTTGCGGCCGCTTTCAATCACATGATTTGATTTCAATTTTCTTTTCAACAAGAAATTCCAAAAAAATTCAATGCATTCAAAGTGGTCTTTAGGGCGACATCTTCTGGTTTCATTTCCAAATATGCTGAAACAATTTCCAATGTAATCGGAAGACTAGATGGTTCGTTTCGTTGAAATGAACTATAACTGAAAAAAAACGAAGAAAGAAGAATGATTAGAATTGAAAAAAAATTCATCTTCATTTTTTTTACCGATTAAGATAGCTAAGTGAATTTTCCGTCAATGAATCTTTGATTTTTTGTGACAATTTATTACTACGTATGTTTGGAAAACAATATGGACTGTCGGTTTCCAACACTATGGATGATGGATATAATGAAAAAAAAAAAAAATTCAAAAATTAATTCCAGACATTTTCAAAGTACACACACACGAACACAAACAGATACTTACTTAGACGATCAAGAGGAATTTTTTTCTCCTGAAACAGCTGCATCAGACCGTTTTCTGGTTTCATTTTTGAAATATAACCAGTGATACCAAGATAGAAACCCATATCTAAATATTTTAATGCTTCCTGTTGGCTACCAGTAAAACAATGTACAACAATATTCGGTAAACAATCTTTATATTGATCAAGAATGTTAACAAAATCTTCATGTGCATCACGTTCATGTAGAAATAATGGAAGATTTATACCTTGCCGTTTAAGGTCGATTGCGATTTGTATCTGTTTCATGAATACTTCACGTTGTATATCTCTTGGACTAAAATCACGATTATAATCAAGGCCTTGTTTGTAGAAATTATTTGATAACAAGCAAAAAAAAAAAAAACATTGATTCGATTGAGAAATAATAAGCAAATGTTAATTACTTTTGAAAGAAAAAAAAACTCGACACCGATACACTTACCACATTCACCGATTGCTACACATTCACTATTCAATGCCATTTCTATTTGCGATTTTGTACCAAAAAAAAAAAAAAAGAAAAAAGATTTCAATGTTTACTCATGAATTAAACATTCAATTCTTGGGTTTATACAAACAAACTCATAACAATAATAACCAACCTCTTAATATTGATTCTGAATGTTCGGTCCATTGTTTGGCATCATGTGGATGGACACCTAGATCGATTTGGTCAATAAACAAACAAAAATGAATAGAAAAATTAATTAAATACAAATCAATTAAATTGAACCAGATCAAATGTGTGAAGGTTTATATTTACCTGCAGTGAAAATGATTATATCTATACATGAAGATGAAGTTTTCGTTCAGTTTTGTTTGTATGTAAGTAAAATGATAAAATATCAGGGAAAAAATCAATTAATTAAATTTCGATTGAAATGTTTTTTTTATTCAGTATTACCTGGATGTAAACGTGCTAATCGTAATGCTTCACGGCTTGAATTTATCGATGTACCAGTGACAATAATTTTTTTCACACCAACATCATGTGCACGTTGTAATACCGATTCTAGATCTCGAGCAAATTTTCGATTAGTTAAATTTGCACCAATATCAATGAGTAGATAATGGCCATCAATATCTAAACTTAATTCGGTAAAATCTTGACTAACCAGATCACGAACATTTTGGCTTAGAATATTCATGATATATAAATATATAAACAACAATTGGTGGTGGTGGTGGATTATCGTAAATACAAAATGTAGATATTAATTAGACAAATGTATGAGAATGATGAGATGATGTAACTGATTGTTGAATTTGTTGTTTTTCAAATATATAAATTTTCTTATTTATGGATCAATGTTTTATTGATGATGATAATGCACAACGATGATTTATCGAAAAAAAGAAAATTCGTCTAATCAATATATAAAAATTTATTGATCATCAATATTTTTCTTGATATATTCTATATTTACACACACACACACACACACACACAAAAACCAATCAAAACAAATCAAAGAGTGGTAATATTAACAACAACAACAACAACTACGACGACGGATGATGACGACAATGATCATCGATGATGATGAAACAACACCAAAGACTCCATTTTATAAAACGGCCACGCCATTACAATTTTTTTTTTTTGATATATTTTGTTGCTGCTGCTGCTTGTTGTTTACCTTATATCATCTGAAAATGATTATTTTTTTTTGCATTGCAAATGAAAAATGTTTACCCAAAATATTTTCGTTTTCAATTGATTATTATGCTCATTATGATGATTAGTAAATGCTTTGAATATCTTGAAACATTTAGAATCTTGGTTATCACACACACACACACACAATATTATCTATGATTTATTTATCGATTATTAAAACGATCAGAATGATTTGTTATGATTTTTTCATGATGAGCAACAACAACAACAAAAAAAGAGATCAACATTTTGAGCATTATAGACGACGACGACGACGGCGACAACAACCATAGCATATAACAACAATACAGACGATGATTTTCAATATTTTTTTTTCTTTTACATGGTAAAAGTATAAATATTTAAGAGTAAGTAAGAGTAAAAGTAATCACATCGTTAGTCAGTTGTTTGTGTGTGTTGTTGTTGATGATTTCATCAACTATCATCAAAAAGCTTTTTTTTTGGCAATGTAGGGCGGCAATGAATATAATGGTATAGAAAATATCATAAAATCCTATGGATACAAACACAGACATCACACATAATACATTAGCGTCTAGCAGCATTTATTGAAGGTCACCATCATTTTCTATATCCCAATGGTTTTTATTTTAATCATCATCATCATCATCATCGTTATGCCAGTCATCATCAAGAAGAGGTTAGCATCATTCATAAGTAAAAAAAAACTGTGAATGAGTAATGTTTTATTTCTCTCTCAAATGATTTGACAAATAAGAAATTCTTCTAATGTCAATGATGATGATGATGATGGTCAAGTATATTATATCACAATTTACAAAGTTGGACACAACATGTGTAGGTTGATGATGTTTATAATTTGTTCTAAATTATATTAAAATCTTATGAAACGTATACGACGATCACTTGAATCAATAAATACAATGGATGTATTATGATGATCATCATTCTGTTGATTAACTGATGATGATGATATTTGATCGGTAGTAATCGTTAGACATTTATTATCAAAATTTGTACGAAATCCTCGATGACCAACATTAACATTGTCATCATCAATATTTTGTTCCGTACCGTTGCCGTTTGATCGAATAACAAATTCAAGATTATTAATGGCTAAAAAATTTTCAAATTCATCACGACCAAACCAACAATTTTGATGATGATTGATTTTTGTCTGATTATTCTTATTGCCAGATTTTTCATCTTTACTTTTCTGAAAAATCAATATGTAAAAAAAATTTAATCATAATCAAAAAATTAGGGTGAATGAAACATCTTACCGGTGGTAATTTTTGTCGTCTTTGTCGTTTATGATCATATTTAGTCAGGAATGTTAACATCTTTGGAGAATTTAAAAAACAAAATTAGAAATTTAAATCAGAAAAAAACAAACAACGGAAAGCAACACATTCTTTCATCGTTATAAATAGTACAAATGTAAATATAAAAAAGAGAATCGGGCTTATAATACACAGAAAAAAAAATCAGATCATTTAGTTTTTCCCAGATTCTCAGAATATTCAACATCATGCCTCTATGTTATTATTATTTAGACAAAAAACAAAAATAAACACAGACAAACCTGATTATCTTTGATAATCTTAAAATTAATGTTTGCCATTGATATATGATGATGATAATTCAATGATGATGACGATGATGATGATTTTTCCTCTTGTTTCATTGTTGATGATTGTTGTTGACTTTTAGCATCACATAAGCTTATAATCGATGAATTAGACTATGAAATGCATACACACATACATACATACACACAAACGAACAAACAAACATAACATTTGGACATGATGATAGGAAATTGAATGGAATGAATGAATGAATGAATGAAAAAAAAAACAGGAAAAGAGAAGAAAAAATGAAATATTAGAATAAAGGAATTAGAAAAAAGAGAAAAAAAAATCTAGTTAAGATAAATAAATAACAAACTAATATATAAATTGGGACAACAGATACAGATGATGATGATGATGATGATGATTGAAAGAAGAACATATTTTTTACAAAAAATAGTAATAAATATGAAAAGATTCTCGTAAATAGATATAAAAAACGTCTACATGTGTTGTTGATAGATTACATTTCATTTGTGTGTGTGTGTGTGTGGGTGTATGCGCTTATGTCAGTGTATTCTCGCGATCCTTGTTCCAAAATAAAATTGACTTGCCTTGAAAAAAAAGCTTTACATTTTCGATAATACATTTCTACTACTATGATCAATGTTTAAGAGAAAATGATAATGATAATAATAATTATTATTACAGTGTACAAATTTTTTTTTCTGCGTAGACCTAATTAAAGAAACCTAAGAAAATAAAACATATTGGATTTTCTTAGTTTTTTTTATTTCTCGTTGAAATTGATGAAAAAAATAAGACTTATTTACTTCACAACTAAAATTCTTTTCTCTCTCTCTGTTTCTCCATGTATTTTCAAACGATAATAATCATTTTGTCGAATAACAATAACACAACAGCAACAAAAATAACCGTTATACAATATGTGTGTGTATGTTGACTTTTGAACTTTTTTTCTGTTTGAATTTTCTATACTAAAAATAATAATAATAATAAAAGAAAACTGCTGCTGCTACTTTAGTTATTTTGTTCCATATGATATTGTTTGATGAAAATTTTTTATCGCTGAATATAACACCCACACACTTACCATACACACACACACACGATGGAAATAAGAAAAACACTTTCGATTAATTAATAATCATCATCTCAACGATACAATATAATACAAGTTACCAACAACAACAACAACAACTACCGACACACCGATGATTATTATTATTATGATACTATTTTGGTCTCTTACTTTTATTGATGAAGAACTAAGAATTCTTGATGATAATGTTGTTGTTGATGGTGATTGTTGTTTCAAGCAAATCTTTTCCATAATGCAACTTTTTTCGGCCAACATTATTGTTGTCATAAATCCGGAACAGCTTTTCGTATAATGAAATTTTGGATCATTTATTTTTATTTGTTTATCCAATGTTGATGATGTTGGTGGTGGTAATTTCACCATCAACACATCTTTTTTCATTGGTAATGGTTGTTGTACTACAATTTTAGTGGAAACTTTATTCAATTTCAACAATGATCTATTGTCAGTAGCCATTTCGGTTACTGTTGTTGATGTTGATTTTGGCCTTGAAACAATTTTCTTGTATCTTTGGATCGTTGAATTTACATCATCATCATCATCATCATCTGGATATCGTGTGAGGATCTAAAATGTGTTGGAATAAAATAAAACAAAATTTTTTTATTATACAATCAACAGAAAAAACAACAACAACTAAATAAAACTTGCCTGTTTAGTTATCTGATCCATATAATCATCATCATCATCATCACGTTTGGTAACAGGAATGTCGTTGTTAATGTTATGTTGTCGTTTCGATGATGATGATGATGATGATGAATAAAAATGTTGTTCCAGATTCTTATTACTAGTTGTTGTTGATGATATAATGGTATACCTGAATGTACACATGCAATATTCTCATCGACAATAATGATTATTGGTAGTAAAGCAAATATTTTTGCCAATGTTTCACCAATAATTTGTCCATATTGTTTGCCATATTTTTGATAACATTCATTCCACAATGGTTGTTGCATTATCGTTGTTTCATTCATACCAATTAGTTTTTTCTTTGACCGTGATGATGATGATTTGTTTTTGTTGTTCGTATTCGATAATACTAGACATTCATTCTGGCCACGTAATAAATGTACTTTATTCGGTTGAACAAGTTTCATGGAAAATAGATAGACTAAACATTCTATACCAAAACCATATTTAGTACCAGAATAATTACCTAAAAATTAGATGATCAAATCAATCAATCTCGAAAGACAACATCAGTTCTTACCTAAAAATATCAGATTTTCAACAAGGATTGGAAAACTTTGAAAAAATAATTTATTCATTCGCATCAATCGATCTAGATTTCCATCGATATTACCAAATACAAATGCCGGTGCATTCACTTTGATCAATTTTTCTTCATGACTCAACATATTGGCCAATTTTGAGCATAAAACATTTAAATATTTAGCAAATATTGACCTTTCATCCGTTGCAACCATTATACCCATTGTTGTTGATAATGGTTGTTGATCAAAATTCTTATTTACTTCTTTACAACAATTCAGTATTTGATTTTCATGAATTTTTCGATAAAAATCTTGAATCAATTCAATGAAAATATTTGCAATGGATGTAAATGAAAAGATAAAATCCATTGAATATTGATAACGTCGTCTCTGTTGTTGATGTCGTCTTTCATACATTTCATAGTCGATTAAATCTGTCGATTCAGTTGATTTTTTTGAAATTTCTATTTGTCGCTCTTGTTTCTGTTGTTGTTGTTGCCTCTGCATACGTTTCGATAATTCGATTGAATCAAATAATAAATCATCATCATCATCATCATCATCATTATTACAACATTCAATAGATGAATGTTGTTGTTGTTGTTGTTGTTGCTGTGTTTTCCAAATAATTTTTGATTCAACACAACGACCATTCTTATTGAATGTAACACAATGGCTACCGATACGATATGATGGTGATAACAATGAAGACTGTTGACGAAAATAACAACAACAACGTTGACATTTTTTCAATGGAAAAAAACGTTGACATTCTTCTTCATTATTATTATTATAACGTTTACTATTCATCGATTTATTATTCTTCGTTTTATTTTGATTCTTATTATTCTCGGTCGTTTTCACTTTTGTTGTTGTTGTTGTTGTTGTTTAGCATTAGATTTCAATCTTTCCATTTTCTTCTTATTCGTCGTGTTTTCCTTTTCATTATTTTTCTTTTCCATTAAACGCATCAATAAACTTTTTTTGATACGGCATAGATTATTCAGCGTGAATTTCGCTGTTGTTGTTGATGATGATGATGATGATGTTTGATTTTTTTGTACAAATTTTACAAAATCCTCAAATATTATCATATTGTTTGATGTTTTGTTGTTGTTGTTGTTGCTGTTGTTGTTAATGGTGTTTGTGTTTGCCGAAATTGTTCCATCAATAAATTGATCATTGAATCATTAAAATCAGGATGTATATCTTTGAACATTTTCACTAGATCCATATAATCAAGATAATTTTTTCTCCCATAATCATAATAGCTATATTATTATAGCCATATTGTACAGGTAAAATTCATTGAACCATGTAAATAAACAATCATGATAATAATGATGATAAAAGAAAAATGGAAAAAATAAGAATAAATCATCATCAGTCAATGTATACACACACACATACAAAACATTTTTGATTGTTAAAAAATTACCATACCGAAAAATGAAACGTAGCCTAGCCATCAATGTATCCGATGTTTTTGGATCAATAGCTATTAAACCGATTAGAAATTCATGAAAATCAATAAAATCATCTTGTTTTTGATAATGATGATGATGATGATGGTGTTTTGTTCTAGATTATTAATTGAAATAAATGATCGAAATAATGGCAATAAACGATCTTTATCCAATGATGGATCACCATTTTTAATAAAATATGATCGAAATGATTCATATGACATCATTGTTGATGGATAACAATGTTTTATAAAATTTCCATAGATTTTAATGATAGCTGCATGATCGTTTGCTAAATTGAAATGTTCTAATGCATAAAATTCTTCAGTATTGGTTTGTTTTAATAAACCTAATGCATTTGATAATGGTATTTCTTCAATGATTTTTGTAGATAATGATGATGATGATGATTCTAGTGTAAGTAACATTTGTACCATTTGATAGATTTCTGGACCCCATATTTTATCAATTTTTCTGGCTCTTATATCAGCCAATGCAATCCAATTAACACGCATTGTATTTTCACAACAATTTTTACGATGATTTGATTGTAGATGAATAAATTGTGTGATTCGTGTCACCGTTTTAGTCGTCATCTTTGTCTTTGTCTTTTGAGGTTAATTTCAATGGTAATTGAATCTGTAAAATTTGTAAATATTGCATACGATATTTAGGTGCTAAACGTTCAGCTTCTTTTGCATCCTGTTCAGGATCTTGACGACCAATCAATATATTTACACCATTATGTGATGCTTGTTGCCATGTTGTATTATCATTATTGTTGTTGTTATTATTATTATCCATCAATACAACAAACGGTAACCAAATACAACCCATTTTCTTTAAATTTGTAACTGCAATACGATCATGTTTAGGACAATAGATTACATAAACAATACAATCATATAATAACAATGATGATGGCAATTGATCACCATAAAAACCTTCCGGTGTTAATCTTGCAACAAAATCACATCTTGGTGGTAGCTGTATCATTGACGATGATAATGATAATGATGATGATGATTGTTGTTGAATTGAATCAATTCCAATGCTAGTTAAACTATCATTACTACTATGATTAGATCGAATAATTGAAACAGATTTTTTCTTCTGTTTCTGTTGTTGTTTCATTATTGTTTTTGATGATTGCTGTTGTTGTTGTTGTTGAATTTGGCAATTTGAAATTGTACCACCACCACCACTAGCTTTGTCGGTATGATGACGGCGATTATGATCATCATCATTATGGTTATTATGGGCCATTAGATCTTATGGTGATGTTGTTTCAATGAGAGAGAAAAAGAAGAAAAACTTTATTAGTTTAGAGAAAATTTAGTGGGCGTGTTGCTGGTAATTTATTTTCAGTTTTGAATTTGTGTTCATTCAACATTCACACACACACACACACAATCATTACCATTCAATGGATAACAATCAAACAATCATTCATTGAACAAAAAAATGTAAGAATCGATTGTTTCGAAATTGAGTTGCAAATCAAGTTCCATTTTTTTTATATGACATGATGGTTGTTGTTGTTTTTTTATTCTGATCAAAACAAAAATTTAATTTCAATTTAAATCATTTTTTCGGTGTTCAGACATTTCACACCAGATGGAAATACTTGTACTATAGAATTCTATTCTTTCAGATTCAATACAAATCCACGGTTTTGTTCGCGGATAAAAAAAAGTAATAAATTTCAGTTAAAAACGAATGTAACGCCCACATTTTTTTTCTAAATATAAAAATTAGAATTTAAAATTAATTTTTTTCGTTTATTTCTTCTTGTTATCATTTGTATCTAGTGTTTTAAAGTTCTAAACGCCCACAAACACACGCACACTTGTTCCAGGATTTGATGAATTTTAAATAAAAAAAAATTCACTTTAAAAACAACAGCAACAACAACAACAACAACAACAGTGGAAAAAAATATATTTTAAATTTATAATAGAGTCCGGATTTTTCGTCATTGTTGTTGTTGTTGTTGTTGTTGATTTTAGTTGCTTTTTTAGGAACCAAATATACAAAAAGAGCAATAACAAACAAACAAACCGTTTGTTGCAAGAATTTGCTGTGTGTAATAGAAAAAAAAATCATTTAAATAAATTCAAATTACCATCAATCACACACAATTTTGATGATGATGATGATGATGATGATGATGATATGCATGAATTTTTTTTCAAATGAGAATAAAACATTTGATTGAAAAAAATATGCTACTCACAATGTTTGCGTAGACGTTCAATAATAGCAACGATAAATGAAAAAAAAGGAAACGGAACCTCTAATGATGATATGAATACTGATGATGATGATGATAAGACAAAAATATGATAAAATTGAATGCACATGGCATACCAATGATCAATGATAATGATCAATTTCACTGGTTTAGGTATTGAAGTTTATGATCATGAATCTAAATCGTTTGTCAATGATTATGATATCAAAATTTTCATATATCACGCAAATGTTACAGGAAGAATATTTGACACCAATAATATTGGAAAGAAATTTCAATTTTGAACCAAAAAAAATTGTTGCCAATATTGAATGAACAATTTAAATCGGCAGCTGAAAATGATAATGAGCAATGCAGCCATAATGTATTAGCATCGAACATAATGAAAACAAAAACATTTCATTTGATGGTGATGGATCCAAAGAATTCTTCTTTATAATCACCAAAAAAAAGTAATAAAAAGAATGATGATGATGATGATGGAATAGTCGATGATGATGATGATGATGATGATGATCAATATTTGAATTACGATCAAAATCATCAATTTAAATAAGATTTTGAGAAAAAAAGAACAAAGAAAAAATATTAAATAAATCTTTGACATTACATACATACATACCGATGAATGGAAAACATTTACTCATTTTTTTTTTGTTTTTTAAAATTCATCATTTCAAAAGTGAAAAAAAACCATATCGACATGATTTCTTGATTTTGTCGACTTTTTTTTTGATGAAAGTGAATAAAATTCATATACATTTGAACACACACACACACACCCGCCGTAGGCATAAAATTCATCATATGTGTGTATTTGAAATGTGTCAAAAAGTGTGATTGAACTTTCAACAAAGAAAAGAAAAATAGAATTTCTATTATGGATGATGTAAATTGAAAATTTTAAATTCATCACCATCATTCGTTTTCATCGTTATCAAATGTATACATTTGATGATGATGATCACGAATGAAAAAAAAAAAAAAAACAGAGAGAAAAGAAAAAATTATTCGAATTCGAGCAAAATTTTGTCAATAATATATTCATCAAGCCCCCTACCCGTTCATAGAGTCTATATATATCAAACCGAAATATTGGAAAAAAAAATTCGAACGTTCGAAGGATTCTTTTTTTCCGATTCTTTGATTTTTTTTGTTGTTGTTGTTGTTGTAGCTTACTTTCTTCATTCATTCATTCATTCATTCATTTATTCATCCCGAAGAAAAAGCTAGAGAGAGAGAGAGAAATTTAATTTGAATTTGATTAGATTTTCAATCCTTTTTTTTTCATCGACGACTTTTTCACCATGCCCCCATCATCATCATTATTATTATATCGATGTGATCAAGTGAGAAAGAAAATGGGAATAAAATCCGATACCAGACTCAACGTGGAAGAATGAATGAAAGAATGAATGAAAAAAAAATAAGAAAAGAAAAATCCGATCCAAATAGAAAATCCCGAAAAAAAGCCAATCCAACGCGCTCATACACACACACACACATGTACCAACGACAATGATGACATAACGGGTGACAACTCATATGTAAAACAAAATTCCAAAGAAAATGAAAAAAAACGAAGAACTTTATTGAAAAAAAACCGAAAAAAAAAAAATGAATAGAAATGGCTGTCATAATCATCTTTTTTTAGCCATAGAACGAATGATGATGATGATGATGATAATGACGGCAAGTTTCATCATCATCAACATCAACAACGATGATCTACAATCGGGTTCGATTCCATGAAATTGTTAACCGGAACTTTGGATGATGATGATGATGTAGTAGAAAACAAGGAAAAAAGAAAGACAAAAAAAATCTGTAAGAATCTTGGGTAGACAAAATTTTCATATATTTGGATCGATATAATCAAAAAAAAAAAACCAAAAAGAAAAGAAAATTTTTCCCGAACATTCTTTTCGTTTCTATCCATGATGATAAAAATCAATCATTGCCAAAGTTGTTCGATTCACATTCATTTGCTTTCCATTTTCATTCATTAATTTGATGATGATGTTGATGAAAATAAGGAAATTAGTTTCGATTCAAATGTAGAACCAGAAAAAAAACACGATCAAGAATCAAGAATTGAGAATCGTATCTTGTCTTTTTATTTTTTTTTCTACTGCTATTATTACATTATACAAACACAAAGTTTCTATGTATATATTTGGATAGATTCTCTCATTCAATCATCAAAACCAAATCATCATAGACATCTAAATGACCAATTAAGATATTCTGTTTATTCAAAAAGATTATTTCGGTATATTTGGTCAGTGCAAAAAAAAAATATGAACATCATCTTCATTTTATGCTGATTTATTCATTGCTGACCATTTTTGCACTCAATCATCATCATCATCATCATCGATAAACAAGTCTAATATCAAGAATCAGGATTTAACCATTTGGTTTGGCCATATTCTAGGTACACAGTTAGATTTTTGTTCCCAAAAATATTCGAATCGTAACGAGTAGTCAGTTTAGCAGTTAGTTTTTCATTCATTCGATTCATTTGAAGATCAGATCAAACAATTTTTGTTGAATTTAATTCAATTGATGATTAAATCAAATTCATTTAGGTTTCCTTTTTTTTTGCTTTTCATTCACTTTTTATTTCTTTTTCGTTATTAAATCATCTTATTATATACATTCATTCATTCATTCATTCATTCAATTTGCACAAGAGAAAAATAAAACACATCTATTGATGATTCAACGACTTTACAAATTTTCTTTTGAAAGAAAAAAGGAAAAAAACGGTCGTTTCAAATCAAGAATTTTTTTTTTTTTTTTTTTGAAAAACTACTAGATAGAATCATCATCATCATCAACAACAACAACATTGATGCCTTGTTCTCTTATTGTTGTTGTTGTTGTTTGATATGTCGATCATGTTCCAAAAAAAAAATCTCTCCGAGGCAAATCGGTCTGGCTTTACATATCTTTCATTTTCAGTCTATTTTGATACCAATTTTTTGTGATTACTGGAAAATTTTTTTCACATAATTGACAAACAAAACAAATACAAACAAGTAAATAGTAACGAAACAGATGAATAAAAAAGCATCATTCAAAAGACCAGACAGGAAATTATCAAAAGTTGTGTGTGTCCACAATCGATACAGGTCACTGGTCATATGTGAATGTGTTATTTAATTTGCATAGCATTTTAATTTATCGTTTCAATTATTCATCATCGATAATACGATGATGATGATGATATATCCTGCGGGTTTTTATTCAATATCCATGAATGTCTGTGTGTGTGTGTGTGTGTATGTTTAGCGATCGCATTCAAATTTAATTGATTTTTATATATTAAAAAAAAATTCAAATTTATTTATTTTCTTCCTTTTTTTCAAATTCAATTCAATAGGAAATAGATGATTTCTTTTTTCAATACATTCATGTAATCCGTGTGTGTGTGTGTGTGTGTTGATTGATACATGTGCAGCAACAACAACAACTGGGAAAAAGAAGAAAATTTTTAAAGGTCAAATTATTTTTTATTTTGGACAAAAAAAAGGCCAACAACTTTAACATAATATAATAATAATGGGTATATATATTTGTGTGTGATGTGATTTTTTTTTCGTACAATTCAAATTGAAAAAAAAGAAAAAAAATTATTTACAACAATCCAATGAAGAAACAAAAAACCGACAACAATGAATTGGAATTTGTTTGTACCATGATGATGATGATGATATATAGAAGAAATCACAGAGTTGATAGTTTGGAAAAAAAAGAAGAAAAGAAAATGGAACTTGAAGAAAAAAAATCCAGATAAAGAAAACGATTCTGACAATCTTTTTTTTTCGTTTTGTTTTCTTTTCGTATTTGTCGGTTGTCGGTGTACGGATGCAATTTTTTTTTCTCTTGGCCAACAACTTTGTGTGTGTGTGTGTGTGTTTGATTCATACGAAATAAAACATAAAGTCAATCAACTTCGTTTGTTCGTTCGTTTGTTTGAATGTTTGAAATCTGAAACGGTAAGACAAGATATGTGCCATCTTCATTATAACCATCACATACACACACACACACACACACCAGGAACATGGTATATATTCTTCGTAGTGAACGTTTTTTCATTCCATTTTGGCCAAATAAATTACTCGAAGTTTATACAGCGGTCTGTTGTAGATTAAAGTCACAAATTTCCTATGAATTTCAAAGTATAAAGAATTGGAAAAAAAGAGAAAAAAAAGATTGAGATATGAGAAAAATTAGTTAGATAATGATTTTGGGTATTTTACTTGTTCCTTTCACAATCAGTGTGTGTGTGTGTGTGTGTGGGCGATACAGAATATTCTGCATCGCACATCAACAGTGAAACATGTAAAAAAAAGAATACCAGAATAATTATCATCACAAGAATCATAAGAACAAAAGTTTCAGGAAAAAAAAGATGGTGGGGATACTAGAATTTCTTTGGATTCTAGATTCAAAGAAATCTGGAATCTAGAATCCAAAAAATCTCGTTTGGAAATGATGATTCTATTCGTTGTTCGTGTGTGTGTGTGTTTCGTGTCATTGGTATATTATATTGTCGTTTCTTTTATTCCTTTCTCTCTTTGTCTGTCTGCCTGTCTGTTTTGAAACGATTACCCAAAAAAACGTTTTCTTTTTTCACTTACTTTATCATTTCAACAAAAAAAAATTTAATGTATTTTTTCACTGATTTTTTTACTATTTAGGTGTTCAATGATCATGATGATGGGTAGGTGTGTGTGTGTATCTCTGTGTTTTTACAACAATGATACACCCACCCAATCATTCTATTAAAAAATAAAGAAAATCTTCATTTTTTCTGAAGAAAATTTTCTCAAAATTCTTTTCTTTTTTTCTTTACTTCTCATCATCATCATCATCATCATTGAATTGGATTGAATTGAATTGAATCAGATGTGACATTATACAATGATGATGATGATCATCATCATCATGATGATGATCCGTTTATATTGACGGGTAAAACATAAATTTTATTTCATTTTCTTGATGAAATTTCATTTAAATGGTTTTTTTTCGCTTTTGCTTTCACACGCACACGCACACTGATTATGTCTGTCTCAAATTGTTTTTTTTTTGTCTGTCTTTTGCTTTTTGTCTCTTTGGTTCATCGGTTTTTTCTTTCCGTTTCGTTTTGTTTGGTACAAATTGCTGGAAACAAAATAAAATAAAACAAAACAAAACAAAACAGAAAAAAATGAACGAAAATATTGCCCCTGGTTTTTTTATTTTTAGTTTTCATCCACCCCAATCCCAAAAAATTCTATTCTCTTTTTTTCTGAGTTAGAATGATCATCATTAACAATCTGCTGATGTATTTTATTCTCTCATTCTGTTTTTTTTCTTTCGTCGATCGATAGAGTTGATGATGATGATGATGATGATGTTTGTGGCGTATATGTCGTTGCAGTCATCATCATCATCATCATCGTCGTCATAATGTTCTTTTTGAACATTTTTTGTTTTGTTTTCAGTAGTAAAGATGAAAATATTTGGGAAAATTTCTTTCCTGAATTTGATGGGAATTTTTTATTTTTTTTTGTTATAAGAATGTTGTCATTATAACCCCACTAGCAACACCACCACCACCACCACCACCACCACAACCACATCATCATCATTTTTTTTCAATCCATTATTATCCATAACTTTTTTTTTCTATTCATCCATTTTCGTCTGAATCGAATGAATTTTGTTATGGTTGGCGAATAAGTGTGTGTGTGTGTGTGTGTGTGTAGGCGGATAGGTGGTTAAGGTAATGCATCAAATGATTTAATGGTTGGTTGTTGGTATAAAAAAAATGGAAGAAGAATGGGGTAACAATAATTCCGATTTCGTAAAACAAAACAAAAACGTAAGAAAATGATTCCAAGAAACAAAGTTGTGGAATATATATAAAAAAACACTTAATATATGGAAAAAAAGGGGAGAAGAAGAAGAAAAAAATCAGAATGGAAACATCTTTTACAACCACACAAACACACATTTAAACACATTATCATTCGAATCGATTAGATCACATAGACACACACACACACACACATTTTCATGCTAGGCTATTTTGATACCAATTATTGTACATACAAAAAATTGGTATGGTTTTTATTTTGAATTGAAATCGATTGAAATCGATTTGTTATTTGTTTTCAATATAATGATTAACTGCAAATAGAATTGAATTGTGATTCGTTTTTTTCGTTCCCGGTAATGGGATTTCTCCAAAAAAAACAAAAAGTTTTGATTTCACGTAAACTCGAAAATCCATGAAATAACGAATAATGAAAATCCGAATAAACAACAACAACAACGACAACAACAACAACAAAACATTGACCATTTTCATTTTCAATTATTGGTCACGATCATTCATTTCAATTTCAATCTTAATTCATTCATTTATTTGTACAAAAAAAATGAATTCATATATGAATTTTTTCGTGTACAAAATCGATCAGAATATTATGTGTAATGATAACATTATTCTTCATTAAAATTTAACAAACAGAAACAAAAAGTACAAAGTACGTGTTTCTACGTATTCCATGTCCTATTTCAATCACGAAAGATGAAAATATTCAATGACCGGTTCAATAATAATAATAATAATAAATCCGGAATAAGAATCACTGTAATCATTAAATAATCGAAACGTAGAAAAATCATTTTTCATGAAAAGAGAAAAAAAACATCAACTAATTCAAATTGAAGATGAATATGGACAAAACTATGTAGAAAACGGAAATAAAGTTGAAAAAAAAAAAAACAACGGAAACGGTAGTTATCATTCTAGGTTATTATTAACAGTTGTTATGGTGGTGGTGATGGTAAGAAATGGTGAAAAAAAATTGGCAAACCAACCAACAACAGCAATATTAATAAAAAGAAGATGTTCAAACATATTAGAATGTGTGTGTGTGTGTGTGTGTGTGCAACGAAGATTCATCATCATTTTATTTGCAAATAAAAATACCGGCAACAACACACACACACACACATGCAGACAAACGTAATATCATTATGGTACTTTTTTTTGGATATTTTTCATATTCGCATCCATACACACATACACACACACACACACACACACCGCTAACGGACATTAATTTCTCAACAACAAAAAAAAAACCCGTGAATCTTCCAAAACAAACACAGTATATTTATGTGTGAAAAAATGGCCATTTTATTCTTCAACATCACATGATGTGTTTGATTCGGTTTTTTTGTTGTTGTTGTCTGTGTTTGCGTGAGATGAATTTAACCAAAAAAAAAAAAAAAAAATTATTTCGTAAAAAAAACCATGACCATATAACATACACACACACACACATCAGCAGCAGCAGCAGCAGCAGCAAATTCAAATAATAAACACCCAAACACACGTCGATTGTTGTTGTACACACACACACACACACACACACATTACAAAATGGCTGCAGAAAAAAAAGAAAGAAAATTGCATCACTTGTGATGATGATGGTCAGCCAAACGATGATTTGGGATACGAAAATGAAATGGAAATGAAAATGGAATGAAAAAAAAACATGAAAATTTTTCATTTGAAACTACTACACACACATATATATAACACAATCGACTTTTTTATTTTATTTCTGCCATTGGGGTTCGATGAATGGATTGGCTGGCTAGTTCATTTTATTATTATTATTATTATTTGCACTACACACACACACATAGACACTTTCGATTTTTTTCTTTCTTCCATTTTCGGCATTTTTTTTTCTCGGTCATCACTTTTCTTTACATTTTATTTTACATTTGAAAGAATAGATATTTTTTTTCTGCAGCCATTTGGCCATCGTGTTTATTTGATAACACAAGCAACTTGCACACACACACACACACACACACTCTCTCTGGGTGTTTGATCTCATTTATTACTCGACAACAACAACAACAACAACGAAAAAAAAAAAAAATTGACTGAATACCAAATATTGAGAAAATTTCCGTTATGGTGCATACTTGTGTTTAGTGTGTTTTTTTTTCAAAAATCTTGGTATTCATTGTGTATTCTTATTTTTTTTTTTGTATCAAAATGATGATCTAGGAAAAAAATTACCTCATCGGCCGATGAAGATATTTCCATTGGATTATTGATATTTGGATGATGTAAAAATATTGTTGTTGTTGTCGTCGTCGTTGTTGTTCCTTCCGGTACAGCAGTAGCAGCAGCATCAGGAGCAGTAGCCAAAGTTGATGATGATGATTGTGATGTTTGTCCATAATAATCACTAATACAACCATTTACAGTATTACTATCAACATTACTTGCTGATAATAAAAAACCATCGATCTGTTGATTTTGAAGAAAAAAAAAAAGAAAATAAGAATTATGTGATTGAACACCGGAAAGTGTGTGTGTGTGTGTGTGTGTGTGTGCGTCGGGAAAAATGATACTATGGGGGGACAGCAGAAATATTAACCGGAAAAAAACGAAAAGTTTTTTGCTTCTTATCAATAAAATTATGGCTATTTTTACTAATGTTGCACACACACACACACACACACAAACATCGTAACTGTCGATTGAAGCTAAATCTAACCACACACCGGAATCATATCCAAAAAAAAACCAGACAGGAAAAAAATTTTTAAATGGACCGTAACAAATAGACAAAAAAACAAAATAGAAACATAATGGCGAGTAATAAACCGAAGAATTTTTTTTTTGCATTCCTATGCATATGGTTCTTCTTCTTTTTCATGGACATACATTTTTATTCTTATGATTCTTGTGTGTTTCGAATAAATGGACTTTATTATTAATTTATAATTGGTTAACAGAATTGATATGATTGGATAAATTATTGTGTGATAATATGTGAATAAACCAATAGATTAAAAAATGATGATGAATGATGATGGCAATAACAGTGATTGAACAGAAGGAATTTTGATGTAATTGAAGTACTTTCGTCTGTCATCGACTTTTCATCCTTGTCTGATCTGACATTGTCACTAGGGGCAATCCAAACCATACGTTATGCCTAGATATTTGAATCACTTGTTCTTTGAATAATGATGATCATAATAATAATAATAATAATAACAAAGAGAATCAAGAATAAATTCAAATGATGATGAGCAGCTATATTGTTAGCAACAACTCACAGAATATTCTCCATTCTAACCTAAGATATTATTATTATTATTATTATTATGGAATCTGTGAATATTCTTAATGAGATTATGGATTATTATGGCCAAACAACAACAACAACGACAATTATGATCTGTTGTTGTTGTTGTTTGGTCATAATTCTAATGTCTAATGTCTAAGACAACAACAACAACAACATTTTGTCATTATATATTGTACCTTTGGGAGACATATCATATATAAACATGTATACATTGGATTCTTAACGTGAATTGGATTCTAAAAAAAAACAACTACAATATTCAAGAATATAGTCAAGTTAACTAATGCATGTGTGTGTGTGTGAGTGCATGTATGATTATTATTAGAAAGAAAAAAAAACTTTTATTATGGAATTCATCGTTGATGAAAATATTCTTATTTTTTACACATCTGATTCAACACACTGTGTGTGTATGTATGAAGAAATATAATGATATAATATAATAAAACTTGAAACTTAAAGCTTGAAGTAGACTCATCTAATAGATGATCATGATCATCATAACATATATTATTAGGAATTAAGAAACACAGTGGAAAAAAAGTTTCATTTTTCTTTGTTTTGTTTGAAAATCAAAGGTCCATGTTTGCATAGTCCATAATAAACAATGAAAAAATAAAATTTCCTATATATTCCAGACATGTTTTGTTGTTTTAATTTGTATGTCAAATGAACATGAAAAAAAAAAATCACTCAATCACTTACTTTATCATTTAATGATAAAATCTGTGGTGATGCTGTATACAATATTGTTGCTGTTTGTTCCGGTAATGTTGTAGCGGTTGTATCAATAAAATAATGTGGTTGTTGTTGTTGTTGTTGTTGTTGCTGTTGCTGTTGAATCATTGATGGTGGTGGTGTATCAGTTATCGATGAACTTGGTGTTGATAATGAATGTTGTTGCTGTTGATGATGAAAAATTTGTGAAAATGATGGAAGATGTTGTTGTTGTTGTTGATGGTGGTGGTGGTGAGTAGGTATTATACAACCAGATGTTGGTGTTAAAAATGCAACCTGATGATGTAATGGTGGTGTTGCCGATGCACTACTACTACTATTTGTTGTTGTATTATTAATTGTATTAAAAAATTGTTGCTGTGTATCAAATTGATAATTTGCCGATATCGATTGATGATGATCATCAATAATATGATCCGATGGGAATGCTGTCGTCGTTTCCGCTAGTGTTAATTGTTGTAATTGATGATGATTAAAATGATTATTATTATAATGATGATTTTCTAATAATGGTGAATCGGAATGTATTAATCCGGTTGTTGATAATGTAGATTGTTGTTGTTGTTGTGACGATTTAACGTACCATTGCCACCAATAAGTGATTGTTGTTGTTGTTGTTGTATTCTCGATGATACAAACGGTGATGATGATGATGATGAAAGATTTTCTTTAATCACAAATAAGCTAAGCTTATTATTTAAATCAGACACTGTTGCAGTTGATGTTGTTGAATTTGATAATGTTGATGTTGATGATGATGATCCAGTAGCAATAGATTTTTTTGTTTTTATATCTACAAAAAAAAGATGCAAAAAAATGGTGCAAAATTAAATACATTGTATCAAATCGGATTTTTTTTTGTTTTGTTTCTACCATTCTACCATACAAATCATCATCATCATCGAATGGACTGTTACATTGTGTGAATATACTCGATGATTGAATTACGCACAAACAAATGATGAACCAAAAAAAAACAAAAAAAAAACAAAACTATAATAATAATGCAATGGAATTATCGATCTCGATCGATTCGATTCGTGTGTATGTGTCCATTTCTTGCACAAAGTTTAATAATAAAGTGTACTTTTTTTCCATTCAATACGGATATTTTCTTCTTTTTATATATATTCATTCTATCTGATAATTTTCAATATTCGATTGAATTCAGAAACTTTTTTTCTCTCTCTCTCACTTTGACACACAAGAATATTCTTTTTTTTTTGTTTCAATTCTAATCTTGTTTGGTTATAGAATGTACAAACAACTATGATGATGATGATGATGATGATGATGACGACGACAACGAAGAGGAATACAACTTACAGTTCTCGATTATTATCATGTGATGATGATGATGATGATGATGATGATCGTCGTTGTTTGTATTTCATTGTTTTATTTTGTGCTTAAGATTTATTCTAATATTAGATTCGATAACTGAATTTTTTTGTTTTGTTTTGTTTTCAACCAAGTTTGCCGTTGTACCATATATAAAATATATATATATTTAGGGCCAGAAGTGATTCATCATCACCTAGTCACACTGTAGGTCCCTAGTATGCGTGTGTTTTGTTTGCATTGTACCTTAATATATATTGTATATATGTATTGTGAATTGAATTACTCAACTTTGTTTGTAATTCGTTTTTTTTGTTGTTTCAAATATTTCTATACTTTCTGGTTTCATCAATCATCATCATCGTCATCGTCATAATCGTTGAATGGATTTTTTTTCTGGCGACAAATTTTCAAGATCTTTGTAGTAATGCATGACAAAAAATAGCCACTACAAAATTAAATCAAAATAAACTTACCAGTAAATGAAATAATATCTGGTTTATTATTATTCGTCGTCATCATCATCATTGGCGTCATCATCATTTGATCTGTAGTAATGAATGTTTTATCATTATCACCATGATCATCAACATCATCATCATCATTGACTATCATCGTCATCGTCATCAATGAAGAATCTGGCTGTGAAGAAGAATCTGATTTAATCGATCGTTGTTGTTGTTGTTGTTGTTGCGTTTTTCGTTTGCCATCTTTTTTACTAACACCATCACAGTTATTATCATAGTCATAATTGATTGCATGATTTTGTTTGAATGATTGATTTATCGTTTGATTTGAATTTGAACCGGTAGTCATGGTGGTTGTGGTGGTGGTGGTGGTGGTCGTCGTCGTCGTCGTCGTTGTCGTAGTAGTAGTATTGGGTGGACAAAAAGCAAAACTGCAAATAATAATACATTTTTTTGGAATTGTCAAAAATTTTTTTTTTATCAATTTTTATCCAAGGAGACACACCCACTCGCACACACACACACACACTTACTCATTTATTCATTTAATCATCAATTCAAACTTAAGACATTAAATTATGTCGGGTGTAGATGTGGGGAAAGTGAAACAAAACAAAAAAAAAACAAAAACGAAAAAATGAAAATAAAATACAGAGTGAGAGATAGAGAGGGATAAACGCCCCTACCCAAAAAAAAATATAATACTTGGAATTCATAACACAATCATCGATAAATCATTTTTTTTTGGGATTGATTAATTCATATGGGCGTGTGTTTGTCTTTTTTTTTTGTCTATCCACTATCTGATAAAAAATAATGTGGTTTGATCGATTGACCAACTACTGGTTGGTTGGTTGGATGGTTCGTGAGTTATTATTATTGATCAAAAATCTCAAATGAAGATTTTCAATGGGGAAAAAAAAACTACAACGCTTTCACATTCAATGGGGAAAAAAATAAAAATGAAATTGCTTACTTTTGTTTAATTTGTTCTTCTTTACGACGATTTTTTCTTGTTATTTGTCGTTGTCTTACACGACAAACAATATATACAATGATTACAATCAATAAAATTGTAAGTAAAAAACTAACAATCATCATTGAATATCGGGATTCATAATCATATTCTTGTAATGAGCTTGAAACTATATATAAATATATATGTTCAAGTGTGTAATTGTGAAAACAAAAAAAAAAAAAAAGTTAATTAATCAATTATCAACAAAAAAAAATCCATTCATTTACATACTTAATTTAGTATTTTTCGTAAACAATGTTGTCACTGTTAATCTTTCGACATCACTTTTACCACGTTCATTACGTGCAAATAATTCTAAACGATACGTTGTTCCAGGTTTCAAATTATTCAGATAAAATATTGGACTTGTTTCCGATGTAAGATTTATTTTTACATTTTCAATGCCATCATCACTACCGATAATATTTGCCGTTTTAAGCTGTTGTTGCTGCTGTTGATTTGTTGTTGTCTTTTTCGTCGATGATTGCTTATTACGAATTGAATAGATAATTTTTCTTCCATCACCATTATCATTGAACGTTGATTTTGATTCATTTTCATCATTATCATTGCCATCATCATCATCATCATCATCATGATTATTATCATTTTGTTCGTATTGATAAACATAAGCAAAAAATATCTGTTTCGAACCACCATTATCACCTGGATAACATTCAACCGTAAGACTTGTTGTCGTTTTATTTGTTACTGAACATTCATGTAATGATGATGGTGGACCAGCTTTTTGTATCCAAAATATACATGGCTTACGTTGCATACCGATCATGTTGCTTGACCAACAGGATAATTTTCCATAATTATTCGTAGATCGAATTTCATATAATAATTCATAATCATATTGTGATTTTGATTGAGCAATAATTTTTGTTTCATCAAGCCATTCATGATCATGTCCATCAGCAACGTTAGTATTTAATGTCCAATAATAATTTGTTGCTATAGGATTTGATTGTACATCACAACGTAATCTTATTGATTCATTTATAGCTAAGGCATATTGATTTTGTTGTCGATTGTTATTCTGATTCTGATTCTGATTATTCATTATTGATTTAGTAATTGTCATTTCATTGTAACCGCTAACGAATGAAGATTTTTTATTATCATTATCATCTGGATATTGATTCCTACAGAATGGAACATCTGAAAAAAAAATTTTATCACTGATTAATGAATTAACCGATAGCAAACGAAAAAAAACTTACATTGAACATCCACATGTATTGAATTTGAATGTGCCATTCCTTGTTGATTAACAGCTAAACATTGATAACGGCCACGATGATTAGCATTCACAGATTCGATAATCACTTTGGTGATATTTTGTTCTTGTACATCTAATAGAAAAAAAAATAAACAAAGTGAAAAAAATCAATTTTTATTTTGATGAACAGTAGAATTTTTTTTCTTCTTTTCAGCTAACAGCAAACTAATCGCAATATTCTTTATTCACATTTTTTCTTTGTTTGAGAATGGAATTTGTCTTTTTCTTGTTCTCGAAACATGAATGATAACAAAGAGAAAAAAAATTTCCATGATAAAGAAATACATAATAAAATGAAAAAGAAAAAGTTGTGGTATGGTGGTGACAGTGGTGGTGGTTGGAAAAAAAAGCAAATCGAGAATGTCATAGAATAATTAAAATCAGAGAGAAAGAATAAAATAAAAAAGCACGAGCATTGATTGAATCAATGTTTTGCATATTGTATTAGAATGAATATACTAGAACAGCAGCGGCAACAACAACAACAACAACAATTCAATATTGATTGAACACTGTTCAATGACATGGTGAATATTGATTTTAAATTATGCTAATTTGATCTTGTGTTTTCATTCCTGATATTTTTTAGATAATCGGTGATTGATTTGTATATATCTCACTTGCCATTGAAAAAAATTACTTGGAATTTTTTTTTTTTCACTTTTTTTGTTGTCTAAACCATATCATTTCATGATCATCATCATGATGATGATGAAAATTCTGTCGTTTAATTTCAATTTCATTTTGTTCACTACTTTTTTTTTTTGCTCATCTACAGGCCTTGAACTATCAAACTTTGTTCTAGATTTTCTTAATAAAGTTTGTTTTTTATTCTTATTACGTTATTTTATCTATATTGAGAAAATAGTGAAAATTTTTTTTTCTTCATCATTATGATCATCATCATCATCATCATAAAACGATGATATTCATGACGCACGAATCGGAAAAAAAGTTTGAGAATCCATTTTCCAATTTTTTTTTTGTTTTTGTTTTTTACTATTAAATATCACAGACACGCACACACAACACACACACAAATGACAAACTAAATGAAACACGGCAAGTTATCGAAATGATTGAATATAGAAGAATCTCAATTTAAATTCTATGAGCATATATATGAAATATTTGAAATCGAAAACAACATGATTGTTTTGGAAATGTAAATGATCAAAGTGTGTGATGTTTTTGTATATTGAATGTTTGATGTTTGATCTAATGAATGTTTCTAATTGATTGATTTGAATCTAAACCCACCATAAATTAACAATATCCATCGAGTATTTGGCGTATACTTGATCAATATAAAGTTTTATTTTATGAATCAAATTTACCATTAGTGTTTAATCACATCATAGCTGCAAACTTATTACGATGATGATGATGTAAAGTTCATCGTAGTTCATTACGCAACCATATTTAGCGTTTTTTTCATCTTTCCTTATTTTTGATGATGATGGAAAAAGATTGATCCACATCATTCATTCATTCATGCCAGTTTTCACACACACACACGCGCAGACACACATTGATTTAGATTGAATTTCAATCAATTTCTATGTATAAAAGGCGAATGAATCGTTTGTTCAATACAATTTTACTTCTTTTTTTTTTTTTTCTTCTTTCTACTGGAGTCACATTCTTGATATGATAACGATGAATGATGAACAGGAAGAAAAAAAAAGAAAGAAAAATGGTGATTATGATGATGAAACTGAATTTAATTAAAGGGAAATTAATTTCTATTTTATTTTCCTGGGCAATGAGAATAGGTTCTTTGCAATAGGTTTATACGTATATATCGAAGGCAAATTCGGAAGATGATGATGATGATGAAAAATGAGAAAATTTTCCCGGATTTTTTTTAATATTACAAATGTTTTTATTATTATTTTTTGGAAATTTTTTTTCCTCTTTTTTGCCGTTATTATTACCGAGTTTTTTTTCTTTCTTTCATTTGATGCTTATCAAGATATGACCCCATAAATTTTGAATTTTTTTTTGGCTCTATTCCACTTTACAAAAAAGTTCAAAAAACCAATCAAATTGATATTATTACAATAAACATAAGGCCATTATATTGATTTTTTTTTGCTTTGAAAAAAAGAAAGAAAAAAAAACTTGAGAAATGAAAAAAAAAGTTCCAAAGAATATAGTGTGTGCGTGTGTGGAGAGAAAATGTCTCAATGTTGCCACCAACTACGGCGCTAAACTAAATCTCAATTAAAATTACGTATAAGATTGGTGGGTAACAAAAAAAAACTTGTAAAATGGGGAGATTCATACTACCACCATTTTCATTTAATCTCCTTTAGAAGAAGGTAATAATAACTTTTATGATGACGATGATGATGATGATGACAATCAACGAAAATTGAGAAAATGGTCATAAAAACTTTGCAAAAATAAAAAATTCAACGAAAAAAGAAAGAAACGAAAAAAATATCATATTATATTGCTCCCAAGATCCAATGGAACCAAAACGAAATCAAAAATAAGAAAAAAAATCCGATTCTAAAAAAAACACAAAATTGTTCCTCGATTTCATATCGATTAACCTTTTTCTCTGTTTTGCACCACTATTTAATATTTTTTTTATTAACATTATTACAATGGCTATATATTTGTGATGATAACGTTTTTATTAATAACCAATATACCATCATCATCATCATCATCAATGAAAGTATTCGAATTTTTTTCTCAAAGAAAAAAAAAACCCAAAGGACTAATCAACGACGAAGGCTTCTTAAAAAAATGGACATTGCCGAAAAAAAAATGAAAAAAAAATTCCAAAATTTAAGAAAGAAAAATTTTTCCAGATAATTCTTCCACTATTTCATAGTTGGAGGATTTGACTTTGTGAAAAGCAATTGATGAAAAATTCTTTGATTTCCACATCATCATCATCTAACCATCGGCTATTGGATCCACATAAACTTTCAAAGAAAAACCTAAAAAAAAAACAAAAAATTATGATAAAAATAAATTGAACTGGACATTATGAAGTAAAAACCCAGGCGAGAAAAAAAACCACACCGAAAGAGCGGAAATGATGATTTTTCTTTTATTTTTTTTTGAGAAAAAGCCAAGTGAACAAGCAAATGGTGAGAAATAAAAGGTAAAATTTTTTTTTCATTTCGGTTGCCCAGTTTTTTTTCGGATTCCATCAACAATCAAACGAATTTCCATTAAATTTCAAGAATTCATTGTCTTTACCATTGTTTTTTTTTTTTTAGTTTAGCAATTTTTCCTGCTGTTAGAACTACAAAAATTTAGAGAACAATTGAATCGAAATTCGAATTGAATCTTCCAAATAACAACTAACACCATGTGATGAAAAAAAGAAAAAGGAAATATAAAGTTGCAGGGTAACAACAACAGCAATAACATAGACAAACGTTTGATTCGTTTTTTCTATTATTTGGTTCGGGGGGATTGATTTTTCATTCTTTTTTTCTACGTGTGGTAGAAAAAAAACGCAAACATTTCATGAATGTTTGGCTGATTGTTTTTTTCATGTTTTCCTGTCTTTTTTTTTCTTTGTTCTGTCCGATCCAAATTTGTTGTTTGGTTCGTTGTTGTTGTTGTCGTTGTTTTTGGACAGAACAAGAAACAAAAAAAAAACACGCACAGAATAAAGTGCTGAATCGAATTCAATTGAATCGAAAGAAATGAAAAAAATTCTGATAACGGATGATTCGTTAAAAAATGAGAGAAAATTTCCGTAAAAAACGTCATCATTCTTGCTTTATTCTGCAAAACTGGATTTCCACTTGGATTTGTGAAATTCTTCTTTTTTTTGGCCATCGAAAACACATCATTAACACCACCAGTCAAAACAACAACAACAACAACAGCAAACAAGAGACACAGACTTTTTTATTCATGAATTTTACGTTTTTTTTTTAAAAAATTTCTATTCCATTTATCTCGAAAAAAAAGAAAAATGAAAACTTTTTTTTTGTTTGTTTGAAAACGTTAAGATTTTTTTCTGTTTGGTATTTTCTTGTCTGGTACCACTAAGAATTATTTTAAAAACAAAATGGAAAAGACGACAAAGAAAACATCATCATTATTATTATGTCATTTTAGGAATGGCTGTATTTATAGATGATTTTATAAACATTGAAATAAATGAATTTCAATTTCAATCTTTCGGTTGATGGACCATCAATGGACAAATAGCAATTCAAGAGAAAAATTTACCGTTTGTTTTGATCGAAAAGAAAAAATTTAAATTTTATGAAAATTTAATGAATTCCATTACATTTTATTGGACCTGGTATGGAATAGATATTGAAAATTATTTTTTTGTTCCCAATTGTGGAAAAAACAAACATTTATTATTACCAAAACAGTTATTATTTTCACCAGGAAAAAAAATTGGCCAACTGATAAGAATGACAGCAACGACAACAACAACAACAATAGAAAAATGATGTCCAAATGCAAAAAACAATTGCCATATCCGCATCATTAGGCGGCAATAAAATAAATAAAATAATCATATAAAAGAGCAAAAAAAAAAAAAAAAAATAAACGTCCAGGATACAAAAAAAAATTGATTGATTCAAATGCAGTCAGCAATAATTTCTGCACTAGACAGAAAAAGAACGTCAAAGGTCGTCAATATTCGGGTCGTGTATAGACGCGTCCATTCTATGCATTATCATCAACATCCACAACAGACGATAAATGGATGCATATGTGTGTGTGATGTCTCGTGAGCATCATTAACAGAAACATTTCTGTTGACATGTGTTAGATGTTGCCAAAATGAAAAACAAAACAATGGTTGTTTTCTGAATTTTGAATTTCCTGTTCTTTATTTGGCCATTGAACCTTGTTATATATTAACCTCCGGTATGAAAACTGTAGAAAAAAAAAAATTGTTCCAGAATGATATCAAAAGACGTGTATGGGGCTAACATAGGATAGGATCCATTAAAAAAAAGAAACGATTCTACTAAGATTTTAAAATTAGAATAAAGATGGCTAATGATTACACAATGGCATCATCAAGGGAACATTCATTCATTCATTCACACTAAACAAAACAATGACGATTCTCAAAGGAATTGAGGAGTTTATTTTTTTCGATAAATTTTTTTCCATTATCTTACTGGTTTTTTTCTAGTTAAAAGTTTTTTTTAGTCTAAAAAAAACTTGAAAATTATACCTCATGAAAAATTGTTCGATATTTAGACATACAAACACACAATGAATGAATATTCAGTTTTTAATTGAAAAATATACACGAATTAATGCCACTAATGATACCGTTTTCGATGATTCATAATCATATGCAATGCATTACGATTGCATTACGCTTGAGAAAGAAAGAGAAAAAAAAACAACCAGAATAATGAAATAAAATTGATTTTCCTTACAAGAATCCAAGTTTGTTTTGGATTCTGAATAAAATCTCCAGAAAAAAAAAATTCCTGGGCGGTCTTTTAAATAAACATAATTAGAAAAAAGCAGTAACAACAATGTTTCGGAATCTGGCGTTTCCATTTTTTTTTTTCATTCAAAAAAGTGAATAGGTAAAATTTACATTTTTTTCTGGTTTTTTTATTCATTTGAATCTCATCCATATGTGGTGGCCGAGACCATATTTATCTTTTTTTTTTGTTTAAATCTATGCATTAAAATGATCTCTACCAGTGGAAAATTATGATAATCCAGACCTAAAGAACGAATAAAAAACGAGCAACTTAGATTCAAGTGTAAAAAAAACCGACTAACTAAGAATGAAAATGAATCCAGAGATAGAGAGATAGTGGGGAATTGTCTTGGGAGATTTTCATCCATTATATATTGGTATATATAGACGAAAGATGAAAACGAGAAAGCTCAATGAAAAGAGTAAAAACACAACTACCAGAAGACAAGAAGAACCAATTTTTTTTTGTTTTCATCACACACACACACACACACAAACAACCAACATTCGATGAATTTATAGCCATGATATTTTTCATTTTAAATATATACACACACAAAAAAACAAACCACCAAACAAACAAACAAAATAAACCACCATATATATACATTATAGAAATAGAAACAAATAGATAGATTGTCGTAAATTGCATCTTTCTGTATTTTTCTCTGTACATTTTTCATTCAGTAAGTGTGTGTGTGTGTGTGTGTGTGTGTGATTTGTTGAAATTAATCACCAAACGATATTTTATGATGATGATGATGATGATTATAATTTACACTTTTACTATATCAAATCATTTAGAATTCAGATGAAAGTAAAAAAAAAAAAAGAAAGAGAGAAAGAGATAAACGACGTTCGTTATTCGTTCAATGATACGAGCGACCCATAAACTTTACATACAACAAACACATCGACAACGGAAAAAAAAGTTAAATTTCATTACATAATATTTACACACACTTGGGAGAAATTGGATTTTGTTTTTTTTTTCATTTTGCCATTGAATCAAAAATAGAAAAGGCACTGATAAAAGGATCAGCATCATCATCATCATCATTAATTAACGAAAATATTCTTCAAATTTTCCAATGTCGTTTGTACGTTGATTATGAAAATGTTCACAAGAAAAAAAAATGGATTCTTTGGTTCATTTGAACCGAATACAGCAATTAATTAGCAATTGGTATATATTTTATTAATTTTCAAATAATTTTCATTTTCATTGTTCGTTTGTTGGGATTATTTTCAACAAAATATCTGCGCGAAATCATCATCAAAAATGAACAGGCAGAAAAAATCAATGTGAAAATTCATAAATACAGTTACTCTGTGTGTATGATAGGAAAAAAAAACAATTCTTGAAATGAAAAAGAATTTGTAGAAAAAAAAATACCGTTAAGGATTTACACGTTACGAAAGTTAAGCCAGTGTGTATGCACTGATTAATCGAAGAAATGAAATGAAATGAAATTTTCAAGCACATCATCATCATCATCATCATCAAGGATAAAGCCTAGTATTTCATCACATTTCAATTCACACGTGAATAATAATATGCAAATCACCAGTTTTTTTTCATGCTCTTTTTATTTCGTTTCAAAATATTTTTTTTTCTTTTGTTGCCGCATTTAAATAAAAGAGGCTCAATTTCCAAGAAAAATACACACACACACACACACACACTAAAAATGGCAAAGATTTTCATTCAATCCTCTCCGGTGTGTGTGCGTGTATTTGTCACCATTGATTTTTCTATGATAATAAAAATAATGAAATTATCCAGAATTCAGAATCCAGAATTATAAGCCAAATAAATGTCAACGAAAGCTATTATTATCGTCATTATTATTACGCCATTTAAAATTGTACACACACACACAATCTGAAATTTTTAAGAATTGTAGAATAAAATTTTTTTTTATTCTTTTTTTCCAGTTTTTCCAACGAAAGAAATAAAACAACAACAACAACAACAGCAACAGCAACTACAAAAATTCAAAATCTAAATGATTATATAACCGATATATATATTCATTCATTTCATTACAAAGTAAGATTTTTCAAATTGTTTCATTCATTCTATCCATCTTTCTCTCTCTCTCTCTCTCTCTCTCGAATTCCAAAGAAAGTAAGACAAAAGAAACATTGGATGAAGGAGAAAAAAAAAAATCATCGTCACAGTTCATTTGAGCATCCTTATTATAAAGTCATTTCATTTCATTCCAAATTCATTCCAATTCATTTTCGATTTTGATTCCTTAGTGCACATTTTTTTTTGTATTCAGTTTTATTCGGTATTATGATCATCATCATCATCCTCATTTTAAGCAATTCAACAATGCGACAAAAGAAAAAATTTTTTTTTTTTTGGATCCTAAAGAATTTTCATTCTGCCACTCGCCTTTCCAAACACATTCACACACACACTCACGCACACACATACTTGAATTTAGCAATCGAAACCATTTTATTCATTTCAGTACTGAAAACCAATCGTTGCTAAAGTCAATTGTCATCGTCGTTACTTTTTTTTGGGTGTCTTTTAGTAGTAGAAACAAGAAAAAAAAAGACATTTCGATCACAAAAACAATTTCAATTTCTGTGTGTATTGTGAATTTGTTTGAGGTTATTTGTCTGCCATTTCAATTTTCGTCAAGGAAGATTGGCAGATTAATGAGAATAAATGATAACAACAATTGTGAAACAAGATTGGTCAACAACAACAACAACAAAAAAATGGAGATCTAAATGAAATGAAATGAGAAATAAAAAAAAAATCGAAAATAAACGAAAAAACGTTTGTCAAGAAATATCCGGATCCAAGGTTGTTTCGGTAGATTTTTTTTCCGCATTTGGGATTGAATTTCATGAATTCTGTAAACGAATTTGAATGAAATTTGCAAAAATTTATTTAGTTATTTTTTTTACAATTATAAATTCATAATTTAACAAATTAATCCAGTGGCCAACATCATCGATCTGGAATCTGTATGGCCAGTTTATAGACCATCATCAGTATTTTGGCATTAATAAGTAGAAACTCTGAAATCAATTCAAAATGTAGGTGGTGGGTGTGCATGGAAAAAGTGTGTGCTTACCCAAACAAAACCAATCATAGTGATCAAACCAAAACGACCATATGAAAATCCATATGGTTGTTTCGTATGAAATTTTTCCAAATAAAAACAAATTTTCCAATGTAATCGTAATGAAAATCGAAATGATGATAATCGATGTAACATTGTAATCAATCCAAATAGGCTATGTATACCGATGGATACGATCACAAATATAATGTATAATGAATAGGCCAATTGGATAAGAAATGCCATGAATAATATTAATGGTCTGGATATAATATTATTATCTACTGATTTAAAACTATTATTATTACTACTAGCAGTTTGTTGTGAAACAAAAAATTGATCTGTTGCAAAAATTTCAAAAAAAATGAGTGAAATCAATTCAAAAATGTAGGTGGTGGGTGTGCATGGAAAAAGTGTGTGCTTACCCAAACAAAACCAATCATAGTGATCAAACCAAAACGACCATATGAAAATCCATATGGTTGTTTCGTATGAAATTTTTCCAAATAATAACAAATTTTCCAATGTAATCGTAATGAAAATCGAAATGATGATAATCGATGTAACATTGTAATCAATCCAAATAGGCTATGTATACCACAACGATGGATACGATGTATATATTGTGTACAAATATAATGTATAATGAATAGGCCAATATGATGGATAAGAAATGCCATGAATAATATTAATGGTCTGGATATAATATTATTATCTACTGATTTAAAACTATTATTATTACTACTAGCAGTTTGTTGTGAAACAAAAAAAATTTTTGGAAATGTATAAAGATTTGCCGGTATTAACCATATGAGCAGAATGAATAAAAATTTTGAATATGATTTCATTATACGATTGACCAATAGAAATAAATGACAATTTTTATGAAGAAATTTTTTCAATAATTGCCTAGTAAATTGTTCAGGTTTTTTATGATCAATTTCATAAGATATTTTTGGATATTTATGAAAAATTATCCAACTGAAACCAAACATAAAACAGAATATCATTTCGGTTGTATGGAATATGATCAATGCATCGATAAATGCGATAATACAATGCATTTCAATGATTACAATTTTTAGCCATCCATACCATTGAGGTTGATGTGAATTGAAAAAAAATTCATAATTCATTTGTATTTGATATAAAAGATAGAATATTAATGAATATATTGCCAATGAACCGAGTATGAATAATTCAAAATTACGTCGTAAAAGATGAATTTTTAAATATCGATAAATTGATTGATTACCATTATGATGATGTTGATTATTTGATTTCAGAACAAAGTTGATTAAAATTTTATTCAATTGGCGATTTTCTGTTGAATAAAAATTACGATAAACATAAAATGCATTGAATGTGGCCAACATCATTATAAGATTATATTCACGTGTCATGCCCATAAAAATTGATACATCAAATAATAATAAACGTTGATGATATGTAAATGGTAATAGATATGTGAATAGATAACGTATACATGAAAGTTGTAGATAATATTGTACATAACGGTGAATACGTATCATATAATGATCATTATTGTCGATAAAATCAATTGTCATATTAATATTATTGAAATAATCATTGATTGTTGGCCAAATCCAACGTAATATATTTATAGCAGTAGGTATCAAATTATTAATCATAGATTTTATCATTTTTTATCAAGTATATATATCGTATGGATCCAAATTGACTGTGGATATTCAGTGGAAAAAAAATATTAACCAAAATCAAATGATTAATGAATGGAACACAAATGATGAAAGATTCATACAAACACAGACAACAAGTATCAATAACAATAATATAAAAAAATGCACAAAAAACATAAAAAACGGAAGAACGAAAAAAATGAATGAATCTATGAAAATATTGACGTCTGAATCTAATATCCAACAATGTCTAATATACAGAATCGATATTGAGATGTCATAAAAATCATATGAATTGCTCTGTTTTGTTTTTTTTTTTTTTTTGTTTTGTTTGTTATGTCAAGGTTGATCGATTTGTCATAAAAAAAAGAAATTGACAAACAATAATTCCGTTTTCAAATACACTCATTGAATGATGTTGTTTATTGAAATGATGATAAAACATACAAATGATAAATATAAATATGATTGAATCAATCAACTGTGGTTGACAAACAGACAAATTCAAAATGATACTGATGGTGGTGGTGAGGATTATAATGTAAGAAACAAAAAAAGAATAATAAAATTATATATATCAAAAAACCGTGTGCGCACAAATCAATTATAGTTTTCTTTTATTTCGTTTTTTTTCACCAGAATTATATAAAAATAAATGAATCAAAATTAACCTTAATAATTACAATTACTGAACATGCAAATGAAAACTTGATGATGGGATAAAAAAAACTTGAAAATGAAAAATCCACCAACAAAATTTCCCATTAAATAATCGACCAAAAAAAAAAAAAAAATTGTTAAATAAAACAAGTGAAAATGGTTAATAAAATAATTTGGAAACAAAACAACAAAACTTGACTATTATCGAGATGATTTCGACAGTATTTGTTGTTGTTGTCGCTTAGGTAACATAAACACAGCAGATACACACACACACACACACACACATCAATTATGGAAATGTTTTTCTTGTATTTCTGGATGGCGACAATTGCTTACTTTTACTTACTTTATCCATTTTGACTTTTCAATCAACAACCATTGTCATTACCCATTGTCTATTTATTCAACTTGAGTTGAAGATTCGCAAGTTTTGTCCATAAACAATGTTATTTGTTATTTTTGTTTCGTTTTGTTATTATTATCTGGTAAATGATGACAATTGACCATTATCATCATCATCATCATCTATAATTGCTAATTGTTTAGTTTTTTATCGTTAAAGAATAAATTTAATGTATTCTACCCACACACACACACACACAAACAACAAACAAACAAAAAAAACGGAAACACGAAAAAAGTTTCATTTCTGCCACACAGACACATTTAGTTTATTGTTTCTCATCAAAGAGAATGACTGCAAAAAAAACAACGACAACAAAAAACACAACAGAATCCAGACGATAAAAGAAAAAAAAACTTTTCAAGTACGAAATGGAATCCACCACCACCACCACCACCACTACGGTCAAACATTGGCTATGAACGAATCATTTTTTCTTGTTTTCTGTTCAATAATTCAACAGTCAATTTGATTTCGATTTTGTTCGGTTTCATATCATGAGAATCTTTGTAATCAACAAAAAAAAACGCACACACATCCATATAGGACAAAAAAACAATGCAACAAACAAAATAATCATCAAATGATTCTGTTGTTTCAATGTGATCGAAAAAAAACGAAAAAAAAAAAGAAAATAAGAAAATGAATCACATTGATCGATTTGGACAACGATAATAAAAGACAAAATAGACATTTGACAATAAAGAATGGAGAAAAACTATAAGAAAAATATATTCTGATTAAAATTTAAATAATTAATTTCATCATTATCTTGTTGTATTCGTTCTAATTCCAGGTATTTATATTGACATAATGAGAATAATCATCATCATCATCATCATGATCATCATTAAGAAAAGACAAAAAATGGACAACAGAAAAAGCTGAAGCTTTCGTTCAATGTAATTATTGTTTTCATTTCAAAACAAATAACAAAATTCAGGTTTCAAAGATCAAGTTTAATTCAGACAGTTTTTTCTTACTCCATTTCTCATCAAACAAACAAAGGATAAGAAAAAAAAATTCTTCAAAATCTCTTTGAATTGTAATTGAACGAAAAAAAAGAGTTATCAAGGCAATATTGAAGATGAGAATTATCACTCGAAATGAGAGAAAAAAAATCAGCTTTTAAAATTCACGGGTAATTTTTTTTCTTCTCAGTTGCCAATCATTGGGAATAATAAATTCCGGGTCGGTGGGGAAAGGAAAAGAAGATTCTGTAAAGAAAAAAAAATATCAAGATGATTTGAAAGTGCAACAACAACAACAACAAAAAAATGTTTTTGTTGTTGTTGTTGTTATCTGTTTTTTTTCAAGAAGATTATGGTTAAAATTCTGAATGCATACACACACACACACACATCATATCGAAATAAGCTGGATTTTGACCAAAAAAAAAAAAAAAAAAAGATGAAGCAAATTGTTATATCATCCACATGATCTATTCTTACGCTCGAAATAGCCAATGAAACAACTATAGGCAGCAACAAAAGTGGAAATATCACCCGAAAAAAATATTGAATGATATTCCAGAGAATTGAGGATTGTTGTTGTTGTTGTTGTTGATATATATTTTTTTCTCTCAGTTCAATAAGCTTAAAACAATGATAATAATAATATACAAAAGCCAAACAAACGCAAAAAAAAACAATGTCCAGTGAAAAAAAAGACAATTTTCAACATACCCATTTGTTTATTCAACTGTATAATGGTTGAATTATGTAAAATCTGTACATCGACCAATGATGGATTTGCATTGATCAAACATTCAATCATCAATGATGTTTGTTCATTGATGATCATCGTTGCTGATGATGATGATGATGATATTGCTTGCTGTTGCTGATAATATGATGATGTTGTCGTTGATGATATCGTTGTCTGTTGTTGTTGTTGTTGTTGATTATGATAATGATGACGATCACCATTAAATTTACGTATTCGTAATATAACTTGAGGGCTATCTATAAATTGAAAATTCAATCAACAAAAACGAAAACAAAAGATTAATTCTTTTTTCTGACAAACGAAAAAAAAACAAAAACAAAACAAAATTGGATTTAAAAAGGGAAAAAAAATTTAAATTTTTCACAACATAAACATCTGAATGATTGAATCGGATGTGAAAGTTTTGAAATTTTTCTTCTTTTTTGTTGTTGTTGTAATAATAATAAAAACATTTTATATCCAAACAAAAAAGGTCGTGAAAAGTTTTCAGCTCCTATCCAATAGGTTGATTGAAAAGAAAAGATGAAAACTTTTTTTTTCAACATCCAGAACAACAACAACAACAAAATAATCAACAAACGATCAAAATTTTTGAACTTTAAAAATTGTTTTTTGTTTCAACCAAAACATATTAAAATAACGATAACGACAAGAAGAGTTAAGATGTGCAACACTATTATCATTAAAAGTTTTCTTAAAAATCACACAAGTCAAGCCGTTATTTTTGTTTCATTAGGATAAACTGATGGCGAATCAAAATCATCATGTGTGTGTGTGTGTGTGTGTGTGTGTGTGGAGGGGAGATGGGGAATGAACTTGAATGAAATGACATTTTTTCAATTCAATCAGATATTGTATCAATCATCGTCATCAGCAATATATTTATTGACATTTATCTCGTTTGTTTCGAATGAACAGCGACAAAATTTAATCGTTAAACTTTTTTTTTAACTTCACAATGTAACTCATCATGATGATGATGATGATGATGACAGTGTTCATATATGACAGATAATCAACAAAAACAAAAGAAGAAAAAAACGAAAAATTCATTTCATCAGATTATTGAAAAAAAAAAAAAGAAGCTTACGAATGAAAGTTATTCAACGGTCGAAATTGATGATTATGAATGAAATTTAAAAATGTAAAATTCAAAACTACTAAACAACAACGACGTCTACTGGCGAAAAGAACCAATACAATCATTTCAACAAAGGCAATAACTGAACAAAAATACCAGAAAAATATGTGCAAAACAAGCAAAAAGAAAAAATATCGAAATCCAAAAAAATGGTGTTTTATTTTATTTTTTTTTGCTCGTTCACCACCCACCATCACCAATTCCAAATAGAAATAAGAAAATTCACAAGCTTGATTTGTTTTTGTATCGTTTTTTTTTCATCGTTGTTCTTGAATAAATCGAATACAATGCTATGAATATATGATATGTTCATCCATTACACACACACACATAATATTCATTTCTATTCAACTAGATTTTTGATTGAAATCAAAAAAAAAAAAAAGAAAAGGGAAACCCAACGATAATGGGCTGCTGCTGCTGCTGCTGATCATTGTTGGATCATATATATGTTGTCCACGGATCAATTCGTTTGATCAATTTTTTTCCATGGAAAAAAATAAGAGAAATGAATCGATGCAAAAACAAAAAAAAACAAGAAAAAAAACGATGGATCGATGAAACAGTACACCATATATAAACAATTGCAAACAATAAACACGATATCCACGATAAAAGCTTCTAGGCAAATAAATAAACAGACAAACAAGAAAACAACAAAATTTTTTTTCTGGAGCCAATTTTCTTCCAAAAATCATTGTGAAATGATTTAGAATTGCATTTGGATGTTTAATGCAAACAAAAATAATGTTGAAAAACAACAACAACAACAAACACAAAAACGTGATTGATGTAAAATCATCATCATCATCCAGATGAAAGTGAGAAGAAATTTTTTTTTCCAATAAAAATCGATAAGATTTCAGGAATTTTTATCGTAAAAATTTTTTCTTGTTTTCAGTATAATGAGAAATTTTCATTCTTCTCCGTTACCGGGAAATATTACCGTTTTGACTCTTATGATCGATTGGTGATTTTTTTTTTTTTCTGTAAAAATTCCAAACAGAAAAAAAGAAGAGTTTTTTTCCAATAAAAACACAGGTCAAATGAAAACCAAAAAAAATGTGGCAAAAATCTCAATTCGAATAACTCGAACAACAACAACAAAAAAAAAATGTCCATTTACTCTGGGATGGAGAACAGATGTTCTACACACACACACACACACACACACACACACATACATCGAGATCATTGAAACAGTAATTTTTTGGCTTTTATAATCCATGTATGTATCAATTCAATTGATTGATTAGTTCTTTTTCAATGAAAGAGAAGGGAAAATTTTTTTTTGGATCTTGTCTTTTCTTCTTAATCAATGTGATTAGCCAATGTGTACTATATCTGGTGATCTGGTTAACGTCACATATCAAAGATTTTGACAAATCAGCTGTTACCGCATACGCCACTCGTTGATTTCAACAATTTCAAATAAAAATCCGAACCTTTAATATTATTATCCATATATATGGACAAGTCAAACATTTGCTTTACATTTGAACATGAAGAAATAATAAGAAAAAGATCAAATTCAATATAAATAGAGGACAGAGCAACAAAAAACAACAACAAAAAAATGTAAAGAAACGAAGTTGACTTTCAAATGGGCCAAAATTCGGTCAATGGACCATACGAATTTCATGCGAAAAAAAAAAAAATCACATCCATTGTGCACGCAAACTTATGTGTCCACATACACATACATCGAGATCATTGAAACAGTAATTTTTTTTGGCTTTTATAATCCATGTATGTATCAATTCAATTGATTGATTAGTTCTTTTTTCAATGAAAGAGAAGGGAAAATTTTTTTTCTTGTCTTTTCTTCTTAATCAATGTGATTAGCCAATGTGTACTATATCTGGTGATCTGGTTAACGTCACATATCAAAGATCAACATTCTTGAAACTTGAAAAAACAAACAAGTAGCAAGGGCAAAACGACAACAACAACAACAACAACAACAAAAAAAATTCCAAGAAGAAATTCACAAAAGAAATTCCAAATAAAATCATACTTTAGATGAGCAAAAAAAAAATGGAAATAAAACGCTTCACTGATCATCATAAAAAACCTGACCAAACAATTTGATAATTGTTATCATCATCATCATCTTCATCATTATTGTGACAACAACAACAACAACAACAAAAACAAAAGGAAAAATAAAATCAAGAATCTGGAAAATCTTTCCAGACTTTTTTTTTATCATTTACGACGATGATATATTTTGGCAAAAAAAATTGCTGGTTGGAAATAGCAGACAAAAAAAAATTGATGTTAAAATAAATTAATGAAGACATATTGATATGAGGATCAATATCCACAACATTTAAAATGTAAACGAGATCAAAACGAAAGACAGAGGGAGAGAGAGAGAGAAAAAAACATTCCACCATCACCCTTTTTTTTTGTTTTTCCTGCCACGTTTCCTTTTTTTCTCTATCTCTCCCTCCCTCTTTCTCTCATTCAGAGCGATCAGAATCTAAACGACCAGAATATTGTTGCACGCAAAATATAATGTTACATATGCATTTGGTTTGCTAAAATTTGTACATGATGATGATGATGATGATGATGTAATAGTGCTGTATTGAATTTGAATCTCAGAAATAGAAAAAATATTCTTCATCATTGAAAATGTGTTCAATATGCATATGTGGAAAAATTTCAAAGATCGTTAGAAATTCATCTGTTTCTCTCTCTCTCTCTCTCTAGCTATCTCTTCTGTGTCTCTCATTACAGTCTGGTCGATTATTGATGATGATCCATTCTCCGCGTTCCATTTGAAACACTTTCGTGGTTCTATTATTGTTGTTGTAAGCTCCGTGAACAGGAAAAAAAAATGAAAGTAACAACCAAAAAAAAAGAAAAAAAAATGTAAGCATCTTAAAAGTTAGAAAGAGTTGCTACTACTACTACTACCACTGTTATTACATTGTTTTCAAATGAATGAATGAATGAATGAAAGGGTTTCATATTTTTATATGAGACACATAGATATTCAAGAAAAAAAAATGAACAAAAAGAAAATCTTCATTTATTCATTTTCAATGTTGTGTCATTGTCATTTTCCATGCTGATCGATTGAATATATTACACATTGCTTTCTATATTTGTCCCCAGGATGTTTGATGATGATGATGATCATCATCATCATATAATTGTAGCAAAGACAACGACGACGACAACGAATGATGATAACCAACATGCATATATAATAATAATAATAGAAAGATATACAAGAGATAGTGAAAGCAAAGACGATGATCATCATCATCATCATAATCATTAATAATGATGTAATAATTAATCATTAATTATATTTGAAATGTGGAACCAAAAAAAGTGTTCCAAGAAGTTTTTTTCTCTCTCTCTTTACCATTCTTCTTTTTTTTCCATGTCGTAACATTTCCTGTATTGTTGCCGTTGATAGTCAAGACACTAAGAATTCAATGTGTTTCTATAGAATGGAAAGAATAAAAAAAAATGAAGAAATTCAAATACAGAATCCTGGCTACCACTGGATACAAAGATTGCTACTAGTCAAAGAAACAAAACAAAACAAAAAAACTAACGAAAATGAAAAGAATTTCATTTAAAAATATAATGAATGAATGAATGGATGATGGGAGAAAGCAAAGCAAAAAAAAAAAATCTGATTTAATGTGTGAAAAAGAATCAATTTTCATTCAATTTCAATGAATACAGACAACAACGACAATGTTGTACATCACGTACTATGTTTGTAATACGTCATTTTTTATCACTTATTTTCAATTCAAGCCAGGAAAAAAATATATAGATAAATGAATAATTGAAATTTCTGTCACATGTATTCTCCATTCGATTCCATCAACAACAACAACAACAACAACAACAACAAAAACTACAAAATACATCAATATAAACAAATCTGACAAAAAACTAGTAAGCAAAACAAAAAAAAAACAAAAAAAATATGATAATTATTAATTATTATTATATGAGAATGATGGTGATGATTAAAATATGAGAAACAACACACCAGTGTATAATACTATACAATACATATTTTGGCAATCAACCAGAACAAACAAAAAAAAAAAAATCCAACAATATGTAATTATTTATTCTAGCCAGCAAGCCAAGCTAACCAACCAACCAAAAAACAGGAACCAGAAAAAACATCATCATCATCATCATCATCATCATCAAACTGACCATTTGATCTACACTACTTGGAACTACTACAGGAATGATGAAGAATGAAGAAAAAAAAATCTGTTCCATACACTTCATACGTCTATTATTCTCTCTCTCTCTGTGTGTGTGTGTATTTTAAGCTTTTCAATCTTCATCTGTTTTCAGTGATTAAACAATCCTGAAATATAGCCATGAAACAATGAAAGGAAAGTAAAAAAAAAAATATAAAATGTGTCCGATGAAGAAAAAAAAACGACAATGATGATCGAATAAAATGAAAACAAAAAATTGCAACAGAAACACACACACACACATCATTATACAATCTGGTCCAACACCCTGAAAAGGGGGTAGAGTAAAGCAGCAGCAGCAACAACAAAAATGATCGATTATTATCATTCTTTTTTTTTTTTTGGTTGAATCGCATTTTGGCAATCATTTCATTTCATATATAACAACAAAAAAAAATCCATATCAACCCAAACTATTCGAACAACAACAACAACAATAATAACAAGCCATGAAACAATGATGGATTAAGTTATAATCATAAATAGTGAGATAGTACGACGACAACGATCATCATCATCATCATCATCATTCTATGTTGGTTGTGATATATACAGCAACAACAATGATGGAAAAAAAGTCTCATGACCAGAAAAAAAATAGAAAACAGATTTTCACATATATAAATCTATATGAAGAATGAATTTTATCTGAAAAAGAAAAAAAACTAAATTAATCAAAGTATATCTTTCTCAAACATAAACACACACACAAAAAAAGTGATTCAAAATAATTTTATTTTTCTATTTTCATGGTACGTTGACTACTACCCACACCTGGCTATACCGTACAAACACAGAATTGTGATCGTAACCTTTTTGTTTTCATTTCAATCAGAAAAAAATGATGAATAATTTAATAAACAAAATGAAAAAAAAAACAAAAGAAATAGAAAGAAAGATGACGTTGGTAGCTGTTTTCGTTACGATTCAACTGTAAAATGAAAATGAAAATGAATTGGCTATATATATACAATATCACAATCTGTACTGGATATTAGAAACAGAAAAAAAAACCCAAAACAAATTTAATTTCATTAAATAATCAGATTTAACAAAAAAAAAATCAAATGATTTTTTTCTGTAAAAAAAACGAAACTAAATAAACATCACCATCATCCAGAAAAAAAAGCTTTAAAGTTGCAGTGAAAATGTTGAACAAAAAAAAAGTTTCTCGTTTCATTATTCTATATACCAATAATTAATTGATTCTAATTAATAGAAACGGACAAAACACACACACACACAGGAGAGAGAGGAATCCCGAAAAAAACCCAATTATCAATAGACAACGTGTGTGGATGCCAAGTAACAGAATTTACTCGAACAAAAAAAAAAAAAACAACAAAGCTAATCATTTTCCATTCATTATCATCATCATTGTATCATGGATATGTGTGTAGAAGCAAACAAACAAAATAGCTAAGATTTTATGATGAAAAGTTTCAATCATGTTTTCTTTTGTTGTTGTTTTTTTTGTAGTAAAACAAAACAAATAACCTGGCCTGAATATAAATCTGACCCGAATTTTCAACAAGCAAAACTCTCAAATAATAATGAAAAAAAAATTCTCAAATCACTTCATAGAATCTTCAGTTTTTTTTATTTTATACTCAAAAACAATCATAAACTTGAAGAAAGAAAAAAATATCGAAAAAGAATAATGAAAAAAAATAAAGCATAATCAATGAAGATTGAACATCCTTTTGGCCCGAAGAAATGAAAAATAGAAGTTTTCTACACACACACACACACACACACACAAAAAAAAGAATAAAAGTTTCATTTTTTATACACCACTAGAAAAGATGGATAAAAAAAAAAGGATGAACGATTCAGGAAAAAAAAAATTTCAAATAAAAAAAAATTTCTGTCTCAGTCGACCATTATTCAGTCAGTCAGCCAGTGGGGTAAAACCAAAAAAATTTTTTCTTGTTTTGTTTTGTTTTTGATTAATCGAAAAATTTTCCGAATCAAAAGAATCGACCAAGACATGGTGATATAATAGTAATAATAATAAAAACTGAAATGAAATGGAATGAAAATCATTCAAGACAAAAGATTTTTGTCTTAACATTGAAAAAGAACGAAAAAAATGAAGCAGTGAGCTAGAAAGAGATGGGTGTATTGAATACACACACACACACAGACAGAAAGAGAAAAATGAAATCGATTTGTTATCAAAAAAAAAAAATTCTTCGATAATGATTGTGTTAAGAATCGAGAATTTTCAAGAACAAAGATCTGTTTGGTTACAGAAATTCTTACAGCCATTTATGTGTGTGTGTGTGTTTGTGTGCAACAATGTGAATCTTTTTTTTTTTAAATTTTCGTTCAAATATTTGAACCAATTCATGAAATTAAAATGAGAAAATTCTTGGAAATATTAAACAAAGTCAAGAAACTTTATGAAAGGCCAAAAAGCCAGAAACCGCAAAACAATTAAAATTTGGATGAATTTGTTTTGTTTTTTCTTTTCATTGTAAAATCGTGAAAAAAGCATCACTTACAGAGTACTTCTAATCGCCAAACACTTTCAATATAATTTCGATTTTCACCATCATTATTAGCATTCTTTGTCGTTGTTGTTGTTGTTTTCGATGTTATTATTGAAGAATTTTTCATCGTTGATAATGATGATGATGATGATGATTGAAGTAATCGAGGATTATAAGCTCGACATTGTAATAATGAACCATTATCATGTACAGTAGGCATCAATGTAATTGAACTAAATGTTTTATTTGATTCATATGTTTCACTGTGTAATAAAAAAAAAAATAAATTGATTAAAAATCAGAATAAAAAAAAATTCACAATCATAACTTACATTGAATTTGATAATTGTTTATCATTACGATACCATCTAATAATGGCTGCCGGTTTCGATCCATATGTTTGACAATGGATATCAATTTTACGTCCAGCTAATAATCGTGTACGATTTGTCATTATACGTACATCGATCGGTAATACTATTTTAAACAAAATGGTAAGAGTTTGATTTTGTTTAACAAAAAAAAAAAAAAATTATTTAAATCAACTTACGATTAATATCCAAAATAACATACGCTTCGATTGGCATCGATGATGAACTATTATAATTACCGGCTTGACAAACATATTTATCATATAGATCACGTGATGATATTTTATAAATAATCAATTCATTCGACACAATACCATTATCACCGACAACATATGATCCATCGATCATGACACCATTTTTATACCATTGTAATGTTGGAGGTGGTACTCCTTGGATTGGTTGATTGGTTAGTAGGTTTTTTTACAAGTGAAAAAGAAATTCAATTTCATCAAAATTAGAAAACAACAATGAACAAATAAATACCTCCATTCGATTCACATGTCAATATAACATCGGTATTCTGATCATATGGACCGATTGTTGAATTTTGTATATAATTTCCATTTTGATCACGAATTGTTATCTTTTTTGGAGGCACTATCATCATCATCATTATCATCGCCATTTTGATCCATCAATCAATGAATCAATCCAAGACCAGACCGGAACCAAGACCATATCCAAAACAGAATCGAAACCGATAAGAAAAATGTAAAAAAAAAATATAATTAGATTTGATGGAAACATAAACATCTGGTTTGTTGAATGCCAACCCACAAATACATCGATTCTAGACCTTGAAAAGAGTTAAGAAATATATGAAAATATTCAGATGTTGTTGTTGTTGTTGTTGTTGGTTGGTTGGATAAATTTCCTCTAATTCTTTCTTGTTAATTATTCTATTAATTAACTTAAAAAAATTCTTGATACTAAGATGATTAAGAATATTGCCGCTGTTGTGTTATTGTTGTTCAACAGATTTTTTTTAGAATTTTTCGTATTGAAAAAAAATGAATGACGACAAAAACTAAAATAAAATGAAACTTTTATCAAAGTTTCAGTTTCATTAATTTATAAGAAAAACAACAACAACAAAGTTGTTGTAAGACTGACTTTTCATGTTTTTCTTTCTACGTGTATGGGGGTAGAAAATTTCATCAGTTTGTAATGGTGAAAAAGTAAAGTTTGTTTTGCATTGTTTTTTGTTCGTTTGGATATGATGCTAATGATGATTATGAGAAATTTTCATTCATTCATTCATCCATCTATTGATTGAGATTGGAATGAATGAATGAGTGAATGAATGGAAAAAATGATGATTGATTATCGACAAAAGGAAATGAATAACGGAAATTCATTAAAATTAGTGAAAAAAAATGTTTTTTTTTTTTCACATTATTATTTTGTTTTATATTTCCTCACTTTGTTTGATTATTTCCTGTTCCTGTGTGTTGTACGTGGTGTGTGTGTGTGTTTCATTATGTTTATTTGTTTGAAACAATAACAGATCGAGCAGATCCATATATATATTATATATATATAGATATTAATCAATGAACAATGTTTTAACATACCAATAACATGAAGCGATACAAATGAATTAATTGTACGGCCCCAACGAAAATCAACCCGACAACGATAATCATTATGATCATTTTCAAATACCGGATCAATACGTAATACAGATGGATTTGATTGTAGATCATAAATGGCACGATTTGGTTGAAAAATATCACTTAAAAAATGTGTTGCATTCGATAATGTTTGTGAAGCTCGTCCATCCACCGTATAGATAGGCACACGTGTATTATTACCACGATGCCAGAATATTAGCTGTATAGCATCGTCCGGTGAAGGCAATGTTAGATTGCAAGGCAATTCAGCACGGCCACCAATCAATGATTTTATTTCACCATAAACTGAAAAATTGATAAAAACATATGTTTTGAAAACAAAACAAAAACAAAAAAAAACGATACAGAAAAAAGACAATAAAATAAATGGCCATTCATATATACAATGTTACAGCAATATAATAATGATAATAAGAAAAACGAAACAAACAAAGTGGAAATATATAAAATGCAATGATGATGATAAGCAAATGCAAACATGCATAAGTGAAAAAAAAAGAATTAAAAAAATCAAAGAAATCATTCCGGTCTGTATTTGGAATAGAATTTGCTTGTCATGTGATACACAGGTCCGATTTCATCATCATCATCATCATCAAAAAAAAAAAGAAAAAAAATAAACCCGGCTTATTGCCCGGGTATCATGGCTAAGAACGAACAAATGAATGAAAGAGAGAAAAAAAAATTCTGTATTTATAATACTTACATGTTTGATCCTCGATTTGGTTTCCGGGTAATTTAATTCCTTCATAGTTTAATTTCCCGTCATCAAACAAACAAATGATTGAATGAATGAATGAATGAATGAATGAAAGAATCATGAAAACACCAAAGCAGAAAAAAGCAGCGGACATCAAACATCAGCAGCAGCATCATCATCATCATCATCATCAGTGGTTATTATTGTTATTATTATTTTTATGGAAAAGAATCGTTGATTTTTTTTGTTTGTTTGTTTGAAGAATGCAATTGAAAGCAATGAATGAATGTATGCGTGGTGTGTGTAAGAGGCGGATGAGAGGAAAAGAGAAAGAGAAAAAAAAAAAATTATTGAATGTGTTATTCGAAAGAAGCATTAGTGGTGGTGGTGGTGGTGTTTTTGATGTTGTAAACAAACATTGTTTGTGTATGGCCACATACACACACACCCACACACACAAACACAAAAGAAGAATTGGAATATATGAATTGAGAAAATCACTTGAGCATCACTTGAAAGGATGAAGAACGAAAACAAAAAACGAAGAAGTTAAAGATCGTATCTATAGTGTGTGTGTGTGTGTGTGAGCGAGAATAAAGTCAAAGCAAAAAAAAAAAAAAAAAAAAATGACCGACCATAACAACAACAACAACAACAAACTTAATGGGCAGATTAATTTTACTTGTATGAAATGAAATGAAATAAATGGCTATAGATGGATGAAATGAAATGGGTTTCATATAAAAATTCTTGTACCAAACGGAAAAAAAATTGAATGAACAAACAAGCATGAATGAAAATGAAATGAAGGGTTAACGTTATAGTGAACGTCGATATCTGGCATATATACACACACACACACAAATTATTAATGAACGAATGAATAAAAATAAAAATAAACAAAAAAAAAAAAACGAAATAGATAGCCATTGAATTCTCGTTGTTGTTGTTGTTGTTGTTGTCGGTCGAGAATTCTTGTTTGTTGTTCACTCAACATTCCTTCGACAAAGGAGAAAAAGAATTCAGAATTTATTGTGATAATGTGCTCGTTGTTTTTTCGAGAGAAACGAAAAATTTTTTTTTCTCAAATTCTTCTGCCATTTTTTCTAGTGAAATAAATTCTGATATTCTGATAAATTTCTCATTACCATCATCATCATCATCATCAGATGAAAAAAAATGAAGAATATTATTCTCTACAAGAACATCACTTAATAACCAGTCAATATGATATTGTGTTGTGTGTGTGTGTGCATTGAAAATTTGTAGGATTCACCACTACAATCATCAACTAATAATATCACCAATTTGACCATTAACCATTAGCTATTATTATTATGCTTTAATGTGTGTGTGTGTGTATGTCGACAATTTTCCTTCAATAATAAAGACTTGATTATCTAGATAATTTGATTTTAGTATTCAATAGTATTATGATTCCATTAAACAAGAAGGTCAAGTCACACACACAGTGATCATTATTGGTAATTAACATGAACATGTCTAATAATAATAATAATAATAGTTGGTCATCAATAAAAATGTTTATTGATCATTTGGTACACACACACACACATGACCACATAAATGGTCATTTTTGATTAGGCCATTCTATTTGATGATGATGATGATAATTATTACGAAAAATCAATAATGACAATAAAATAGCTATATCAATTAATGAAATATTGAATTGATTAAAAGATAAAAAGATTGAATGATGGTGTGAAAAAAATATTAAGAAGAATTGAAGATGACGTAATGATTCCAGTGAAAATAATCTGATTTCAATGGCAATAAATATTTTTATGAAAAAAAAAATAAGAATTGGAAAATTTTTTTCATTTTTATTTCTTGTTTCGGCAATCACAAAAGATTTTTTTTTTTTTTTGATCATCAAGATTGACAAATGATTTACGTAACAAACGATCACCAAAGGATCGAATCCAATCGAATCAGATCAAATCAGATCCAATCAAATCGAACAACAATCGGAAAAAAAAACAACGATGCACATAAGATCTGTATAGAAAAAAAATAAATTTGATCCCTGAGTAGACAATCATTTTGAAATCGAAATTTCAAAATAAATTCCAGAAAAAAAAGAATGTGATGAATGTTTTTCAATGGAAAAAGTGGGGAAGAAAACAGAAAAAGTGACAGGGTTGAATTTTTTTTTTTTTGCACTATAGCCCTAGAGACGCAAGATTTCTTAAATTTTACAAAATAAACAGAAGAATAAATATAAAGAAAAAAAAATTCCCGTTTCGATTTCATCACATAATCAAGTGAAAAAGAAAAAGAGAATGATTTTTTTGGAAAATCAAAAATCAAATTTTTGTGTGTGTGAAAATTTTGTATGAATCCATGTAATTTTAAATGTGAATGTTTAAAGTTAGCATAAAAACAACTAAAATCACACATACCTGATGCATATGGATTAGATGCCATTGCATGGATACCAATCAATAATTGTTGATGATCAATAATCATGATGATGGCAATTAGAATGGCAATCATCAACGGTGATTGATATGATGATGATGATGATGATGATGATGATAATGAAAATTGTTTAATCGAATCGAACATCGATAGTATCGGCGATGAAATAGATAGTCTTTTTCGTTGTTTTCTTCTCATTTCTTAATAAATGTTTTTCTCCCTTTTATTTGGTTATTTTTTTCCGGCATCAAATCAATCAATATATTCGTGACAGCTGACAATATTATTCGGATAGCTGTTCGGATTCATTTGAATAAAATGAAACATTTTCAAATTCAAATTCATGATTCTATGTATGTAGATTACAACATGATTTCAACGAGATGAAAAAAACTGTAAACAAAAGAAAAAAAAAAAGAATTAAAAAATCAAATTTAATTATTTCAAGCAATGGGGAAAAAAGTTTAAAAAATGATTTAAATTGCAAATAATTCACAGGAAACGGAATTTAGAATATTTTATCCAGGACGAAATTCTCCGCAGAGAATCAAGAGCATTTTGTACGATGAATAACAAAGATAAATTATCGTCGTTTAATTACCCGTAGAAAATGATAGTAAAGTTTCCAAAAAAAAAATGGCGAAAATGAATGACCTGATTCTATGATTTGAGGAATTTGTTGTTTTTTTTTTTAAAAATTTTTTTTTATCAAATTGAAATGCAACACACGCCACATAATTTTTTTTCTTGTGTAACAATTTTCGTTTCTATTTGGTGAACCATTCATTTATTCATTCAATCAATGATGAATCGAAAAAAATTGAACCAAAAAATGTGATTAAGAAATGGAAATTGAATTAAAGTTAATTTAATTAAAATAGCCATAAGAATTGAGTTTTTACACAACTATATTCGTATTGATGAAAGAAATGACCTATTAAAAAAAAATATGATAAATTCTTGGAAAATTTTTCCGGAAACAAAACAGAAAGAAAAGAAAAAGAAAAACGCAATTCTGATGAAATGTGATTCTTTTTTTTCAGATTGATTGTAAATTCACTCGTTATGATATTGGTGGTAATATACACACAAACACACACACGAATTATCATCAGTGATTGCAATAGGATTTTTATTTATTTTTTTTTAAATTTTGAAAAAAGACAAAACAAAAACGAAAGACATTTCCGGAAAACATAATGGTCACACCATCATCATGCACTTTAAAATTCAATTTCGTCTCTATTTTTTTTCTGTTTTTGTTTTTGTTGCCTGTGGAATTCAATGGAAAAATTTCAATTCTGAATTAATGATAGTGAATGTGTGGAGAATATTCTTGGAAAGTTATCATTCCAGAAAAATTTTTACATGTGTACTGATTTTTTTTCATGCCAGTATTAAAATGTTGATATTATTCTTAATATCAACAAAAACAAAATCGATATCGGATGTGGATATGGTGAAAAAAAAAATTAATTTCCGTCTTGTTCATCATCATCATCATGATGTAAGATTGATCTATTCACAAATAAACCAACAAACAGAAATAAAACTTGAAACTATCGATAAGATTATCGTTGGCGGTGTTTATGAAATTGATTTTTTTTCTGTAATCATCACGAAAAATCGATCATTTTTTCTTTTGAATTTTTTTGAAAATTTTTCAAAAAAAAAATTTTCCTTTGGATTATCATCAATGATGATGATGATGATCATCATCATCATTATTATTCAATCCAGAATGTGTTAATCGAACCATTAATAATTAAGCCAAGTGAAGTGATCAGTGATAAATTATTTTTCAAAATGAAAAATTCCAACGAATATTCATGGCATATTGGCAAAAAATTTCTCTCTCTCTCTCTCTCTCTCTCTCTCTCTCTCTGGATGATGAATTTTGGAATTTTTTTTTCCATTTTTCAATTAAAATTCATTTTCATCATCATATTTTTTTCATCAGACCATGGTTCGTGTGATCAAGAATTCTCTCTCGGTGTGTGCGTGTTTAGCATCACATGGGAAAAACCAAAAAAAAAAAGAGATAAGTGTCGTGAAAAAATTCTGTTTCTATGATGGAAAAAATAATTGAACCAGAAAAAAAAATTTTTTTTGATGTAAAACACATTATGAAGTCAAATGAACGAGAAAAAAAAACGATTTCTATGGCTATATCGACATCACAGAGATGATGATGCTCAAAATAGTTGCTATATTTGATGATTAAATTCTGAACAATTGAATTTAATTTTCACAACAAATAAAAACAAGACTTTTTCATGACAATTCTGCATGAAACTTGAAACAAAAACATTATGTAAATCATTGTTGTTGTCGTCGTTGTTGTTGCATCGAACCGAAAAAAAGATCGTCGCCTTTTTTTCTTTAGTTCCAAAAAATTTTAAAATCTTATCAATGACAAGAATTTTTGTTTCTAACGCCAACAAACAGAAAAAAAGTAGCAAAAAAATAAAAACAAAACAATGAACACATTTGAAAGAAATGTAGAAAAATTATACTGACATTTGTGTTTTTTTGTTTGTTTGTTTCGTTTCGTCAATGAAATGTTATTCGAAGAAAAAAAAAATTCACATAAGAATTTACGATTCTTGAAACAAAAAAACAAAACAGAAAAAAAAGATTCTGTCGTTACAATGTTGTTGGAGAAAAAGAAAAGAAAAAAAATCGAAAACATGTTCCAACGAACAAAGAATCATGTATATATTCATTGGAAACAACAGAAACGGAAAACAAAAACAAAAAACAAAACAAAATCGGTCACGTCATTTTTGTGTGGGCAACAAAAAATGATATACACGCGTTTCATAAGAATGAATTGTAAGAATCTCGGAAAACATTTCATTTCAATTTTTTTTTGTCAACTGGTGGTGATGATTGTGATGATGATGATGGAACAAGAATAAAAGAAAAAACAACAATTTCCATCATGACAATTCCTGTCATACACACTATAGCCACAAACATTTATTCTTGGATAAATTTTATCATTCATTCATCCATTCTTATTCAATTCGAAATCTCTTTTCGTTCATAAGAAACAAAAAAGTTATGTTTTTGTTATAAAGTTTTTTTTCTTTCTCCTATTATTATTCAATGTTGCTATGAAACTACTACTGTAATTCATCAGCAAAATTCTTGCAAAATATGATGTTGATACATTCATATACAGCTTACAATGATAAGTAGCAGCATCGACATCAGTAGAATTAGAATTCAGAATTTTTATTCTTTATACCGGATCTTTTCGACATCATCATCATCATCATCATCATTGTGATGGCCTTTGAATTCACCAATATTCATCTTTCATATTTTTTATTATTTTTATATTTGCATCTCATCACCATCTATTTTTTTTTTTTATTCTGTCATAATCATCATCATCATCAGCAGCAGCAGCACTCGATGTTTTATGTTGTTATGTTCATGGTATGATGATGATGATGATGCATCACATTTACATATTTTCATTCACTCTCTCTCTCTCCTTTTTTTTATCATCATCATTCTTTTTTTTTCATTCAAATTCTGTTCTATTGTCGAATATGAATGGATATGTGTGTGTGTTTTTCATGTATGAATGATATGAACATGTGATATGAACATCATCATTATCATCAATACAGAAACAAACAAACAAACAGAGAAAAAAATGAACAAATCCACGACTTTATATGATGACTAACAAAGAATATAATCATGAGAAATTCTATTGAATTTCTATGATTAGAAATGAAAGGAATTACAAAAAAAAGACAGTGTGATTTAAGGGTATGAATCATCATCATCATCATCATCATCATCAACATATAAACATTTATTCTAAAACAAAACAAAACAAAAAAAAAAAAATGACAAACGGAAGTAAACGATGATGTAAATAAATACTAATGGTTTTTTTTGGTTGTCTTGTAGAAAAAAAAAGAAATTCAAATAATTATAATTATCATCATATCACATATGAATTTTTCTTTGTCACAATTTTTTTTTGTCTTCTCCACACTGATTCATTCTGGGAATTTTCGAAATTCTTTCCATTTTGGATATCTCAAATTTCATCAAAGAAAAACATTTATTCTTCAAAAAAAAATCTAAGAATCTAGAAATAAAAAGACTGAATGAATAAAACACTGGTGATATTTTTATGGACGCCGTATGCAATTGACATACACACATAGTCACAGCAACAACAACAAAAAAAAGATTCAATTATCATCATTATCATCATCGAAAGAGAGATGATGAGGAAAAGAAAAATCATAAAGTATGGAATTTTCATATTTCAAGTTTATTTTTGTTTCCATATGCAAAGTATCCAGAATTTTATATTCATTAATATTTTTGACTTATGTTTTATGTGATTCTTCTCTCTGTTCATCGTTCGTCGTCGTCGTCGTCGTCGTCGTATATCTGTCATCTTGGCAAAATTCATATCATAGAAAAATATGCAAATTTACCCGGTCAATCGTGTGTGTTTTTCATTTCTCATTTATTCATTCATTCATTCATTCATTTATTCACATTTGGCACTTGAATTCATCATCATCATCATCATCGTAATAATCATAATCATCATCATCATCATTTATGATAGTTAACTGAGGTTATTTCAAGTTTTATTTCATTTCATTTTTTTCAGTTCTGGTTCTGTGCAACAACAACAAAAAACGATGCTCATAATCATCATTATCAGTAGCGAGAATTCACGAGAAAAAATGCTAAAATGAATATTTGGTGTATGGTGTGTGTTTTACAATATTTTTTTTTTCGTTTGTTCTCTTGAATTAGGATTCAGCACACACACACACACACACACACACACACACACACACACACACACACACACACAGAGCCATAATAACAGGCGAGAGAGAAAAATATGAATTTTTTTTTTTTTTGAGCAAGTAACGAAAAAAAATATTGAAATCTACGATTCTAATCAGTAGTAATATGGGGCTGGAATAAAAAAAAAAAATGGTGACATTTAAATCTCGTAAATGTCACATACACATACACACACTTAAGAAATGTGTTATCCAAAAAAAAACAACAAATTCTATAAACAACCATGAATGATGATGATCAATTCTTGTGTTTTTTTTTAATCTCAAGAGCTATTCAGTTTTTTTATATCATCACAATCATAGCTTTTGGCCACAATTCTTATCATCAATTTTTTTTGATCATCATGATCATTGTTCGTTTGCGAGAAAAAAAAAACCTTGAGGATATCATCATTTATGGCTACTTTTTTACTTATTATTATTATTGTCACTTGATCTTAATAAATCGAATGATAATAATTTTCTATATTGAATTCAGAGAGATATCCGGCCAAATTATTTAGGTCAATCGTTTTTTTTGTTGTT